CCAGGCAAGCAGCCATACACAGGAAATAAAAATAATTAATATTTGAGAAGGAATTTCTGGGTGAGTCATAGTAAAGTCTAGTTGATGACTTTATTTAGACAGATATAAGGAAAACGATAGTACACATGCCCCCTTGGGTGCAGACTTCTTAAAAGAACACTACTTAGGTATGTTTACAAAGGCGATTCTATATGTTCCTACATCTTTCTGTGCCTAAGGGTGTGACTTATAAGGCTTAAAGATTAAGACAAGCTCAATACTTAAGTAAAATTTTAATATTAAGTCAGAACATTTTTCCTAAGGATCCGTAAATGGGTTTGCAAGCATCAAGCTCAAGGTTAGAAGTATCCTGGCTGGAGGCAAGCACAGCTCATCTGTTGTTTGAGTTGGCTTTGAGTTGAGCACCCTTGTCTTAGTTGGCTTTAGGAAAACACATACTATTCTGCAGGAAGTTTTGACCTGATCCGCTGAGGTCTTGTATTATGACTCTCAGTCAGCAGGAAAGGCAGGCTGGTACCAGGATGAAGGGGCTCCCCCCCCCCCCCGCCATGTCTCCTCCACTTCCACCCTGCCTCAGCTCCAGGAAAGCAGCTAGCTACCCAGACACCTGCATGGCAGGTGATGGACATGCTGCAGGGTTCCTGGCAGAGTCAGATGGGAGGTCTGTTTGGTGAAGGTCTGAGTCCTAGCCCTCCTATGACTTTTCACTAAGTAAGCAGTTCATAGACCCATGCTGAGACAAGCTACTGTCTTCTGCTGAAGACACAAGGTGCAGGGTTGTGAAGTTACTGAATTTAGCTGTGCTCTTAGAATGTCACCTGACCCAAAGAGTGTGATGAAGGCACCAGATGGCCCAGGAATCACCCTCTGGCACTGTGTCCATGGCTTTTGCCTGTCTTTCTGCTTTACTCTTTTGTCTCCCACCCTCTGGCTTGCCCCAACCCACCTCCAAGCTGTCAGTGGTATGGAGACTGTTGAAAATAGAGTGTGGCAGTTAATATTATCCACTTGAGAAGATCCAGAAACCCATGAAGACAAGCCTCTGGGCATGTCTGTGAGGAATTTTCTAGATTAGGTTAACTGAGGTGAATAGAAAGAGAAAATTGGGGCTAAAGAGATAGATCAACCAGTAAGAATACCAGTAAGAATTCTAGAGGACCCTGGTTCAATTCCCAGTAGTCAAATGGTGGCTCTTAACTGTTACTCCATCAAGTTCCATGGGATTCAGTGCCCTCATCTGGCCTTATCAGGTACTGCATGTAGTCATTTTGTACAACATACATGAAGGAAAGCACCAGTGCACATAAAGAATGGTTTCTTTGTTTAGTCTATGCTGTGTTCGTTATGTAGGGTGAACAGACATGTTTGTGCTCACATCTCCCCAGGAAAGAGTCACACCCCGGCAGGCCAGACCCATCTTGTTCCTTACAGGAAACAGAATGTGCCTGAAAATGGCTCTGTGGAGATGCCATGAAAGGATTCTATAGATGTCTGAGCAGTGCCTAGGGAAGAGAAAAACCAGGGCTCATGCCATGACCATGCTATCAGTGGATGGAGATCTGGGTTCTCAGAATCCCATGAGTTCACCTTGAGACTGGAAGGAGGGCAGAGAGAGTCACTGCCTTCCCACAACCACCTCCTCACATAGTCACTAATGTCCCAAACAGCTTCCCAATAAGACCCAAACTGAGAGGGCTGGAGTCTCCAGCTCCAGCATGATCAGAGCAAGTCATGCTTAGCAGGTATGGAGTGAGGCTGACAGTGTAAAGTGTGGGTACCACTTCAGTACCACCACCCACAGCTGATGCCACTGACTGAGGGGTGACGCTGTAGGTTCTGCAGAGCCTCCCCCCTGCCTAGCACACCCCAGTGTGATGGAGCTGCCTCTGCCTGAGGACACTTAGTGTGGTAGTTGGTTCTGATTGTCAGCTTGACAGTTTTACCTGGAAAATCAGTCTCAGTGAGGGGCTGTCAAGATCGGACTGGACTGTGGACCTGTCTGTTGGGGACTGTCTTAGTTGTGCTGACATAGGAAGCCCCAGTCTGGAAGTAGGGGCCACCATTCCCTGGGTTTGGGTCCTGAACTGTGCAAGAGTGAGAATAGTAACTGAGCCCTTGTGCAGTCCTATCTCTACTCTTAGTAGATGCCATGTGACTAGCCGCTTCAAGTACCAGCCACCTCAACTCCCCTGCAACAATTTTGTTAGGGTATTTTATCAAAGCAGCATAGACCACCCAGGGCCATACAACAGTGTTAGGGTGGAAGCTGGGGCCTGGGATTGGAATGGGATGGGATGGGGCTTAGGTTCAGTCCTCAGCTTCCAGAACAGCCCCCTTCCTGGAGTCTCTGACCTTGGACATTTGTCAAGAACAGGGTTTCTCCTGCAAAACACTATCCTCCTTATCTCTCTCTATCCCTCCCTCAAGGCAGTCTGACCACCCAGGGACATGGGCAGGCATGTAGGGAGAAGTAGCCCCTGATAATCCCCACCAAGGTGCCTCTGAGACATTCATCATCTTTGCCTTCAGGGCAGAGTGGGATCTGGCAACCAGTGTTAGGGTGACATCTGCTGGTCAACTCTAAAACTGAGGGCTTCCAACCCAAATTGGCATCTTGGATTTCTCACAATGTGGCAAGAGCACAGAGAGAGAGGGTCCTGCTGCTGGGATCTGCCTCTGGGGTGTGCGGTTCAGTAGGAAGGTCTGCTGGTGTGTGATGTCACTGACTCCCCTCAACAGGCGACAGCCCAGCTCTATCAGACAGATCCCAGGTGAGGTGTGGAAGTGTTGGTCCCGGGCTCCACAAAAAGAGGGAGTTTGGACCCACTTGTGCTCCCTGCTATCAGGGCTCACAGTCTCAGGGACTCAGAGTGAAAGTGGAGCAGTTTATTTTTTTAACTTTCTTTTTATTTATTCTTTGTGTCTCCCACACCATGCATCTCCATCCCATTCATTTTCTGGTCCCTTCATATCTGCTCTCTGCCCTTGCAACCCCTGCCCAATAAAAAAAAAAAAAAAATAAGAGAAAAAAAGAAAAGGAAACATTAATCTCGTCCTGGAAGCCGTAGTGTGACACAGTGAGTCACACAGTAAACCCTCTTATCCATACATCTTTACCTGCAAGTGTTCACTGCAAAGAGTCAGTGTCTGTTCCAGGCCTCTGGCTTCTGCTACACTGTCGGTGCTGGGCCCTCACCGGGACTCCTCTTGAATATTCTGTTGTTGCCCTGTGCCATGGACATCCTTCAGCTTTGGTTCTGTAGGATCCGCCCCTTCAAATGCTCCAGTAGATCATAGATGGGCTGGATGTTGGGGTGGCCAACACATAACCCTGGTTCTGGGCCCGCCGGCTCTGCCTTGTCCTCACCACTGGAGCATTGCCCTGGCCCTTTGCATGGATGAGCAAGGGACAGGAACAGGTCTCCCATTTTGTTTTCACATTCTTTTGGGTCAGCTCTCCCACACCTACACCTTCAGGGCCAGCTCTACTGTGTTACTCAGGTGAGGTGCAGGGGCCAGCTGCAGCCGATGGAGAACGGGGCAGCTCGCCCACTCTTACGGCCTCAGGGCCAGCTGGCCCACCTGCCTCAGGCATTGATGGGGGAGGCATCGCTCCCCCCCCAGGCCAGCTCATGCTGCCACATGACAGATGAGTAGTGGGGACAGCTCTCCCATACTCATAACTCTGACGCTGGATCACTGTCACCTGCACTAACAGGAATATGGCTCTGGCTCTATTGTTCTGCCCAGGTGAGGTGCAGGGCCCATTTTCCTGAGTGCTGCAGTTGGTAAGGGGGCGGGTCAGCTCCCTCATCTACCACAGGTGGCAGGGGTAAGGCGGGGAGGGCATCTCTCCTTCCCTCCCACTACCACATGGCAGATGGGGGGGATGTGGCTAGCTGTCCTCCTCAGGGCTATCTCACAGGGCACAGCTCAACTGTGCTGCCCAGACGAGGAACAGGGCCTGTTTCCTGAGGGCTGCAGCTCCTAAAGGTCAGCTCCCTCATCTGTTGCAGACAGTGAGGGGCGAGAGGTGGGGGGGTTTGTCTTCCTTGCATGTTGAACTCACAACTTACAGCCTGGGGTTGCCCTCCTTGTATGTTTCCACTTACATTTTACTTTCAGTCCCAGTTCTCCACTCACTCATTTCAAGTCTTCATGCAGACCTTTACAGCCTCGATCCAGTCTACCTTGGCTGCTGTGCCTGCATTTACAGTCAGACCTGATGAAACAGGCCTCACAGCAACCCCCATGAGGAGCACATTCCCTGAAGGGCTGAGGGCCCTTGAACAGTGTGTGCTGTCAGCACCCTCCCAGCCCCTGTGCCATTTAATCCACTCCTTTTCCTGTCCTCTTGGGGTTGGGGTGGGGCTTTGCGTGACTTGGATCTATTCGTTGTGATGTTTAGCCCCATGTCCTCTGATTGCCAGTGAGACCCAGCAGACGACTCCGAAGTTCAGCCAGTGGTGTTTAGATGTTACAAATCTATATGTTAATGGTATTTGGAAACTTTGGAAGGTGTCTGGGGCTAAATGAAGTCTTAAGGATGGGGCCTCTTGATAACATCAATGGCTTGATAAGAGGAGGAAGAGACTCAAACTTGCATGTTGCTGTCTCTGCCCACAATGTTCTGCACTATTTTAATGAGGTACAAGACCCTCACATAGGTTGGTGTTATATTCTTGAAACTGTGAGCTCAATAAAGCCCTGTTCTTTATAAATTACCAGGTATTGGGTACTATAGCAACAGAAAATATACTAAGAAACTCACAATGAGTGAATATGCTAAAGATGGTATCTGCTTTACCAGAAGGTCCTAAGTGAGGGTGATGACCCCTAAGTCAGAATATAGGCAGCAGAGTGATAGGCATGCCCCCACTTTGTGGCACTGGGAGCTAGGGATGCTTGTTATGTAGCATCACTAAGTTATCCTGATCAATACACAGGAAGAACCAGCACCTGCTGCACTGAGATGCTACAAGGGCCACCAAGACACCAGGCAGAGTTGCACACTTTTACTGTCTCCCAGGAGAAAAGGGGCCTTGCTGTAAGCTTGTTCTAACTGTGACCTGCTTGGTAAGGCCGAAGCTCAATCTGGGCATGGTAATGTTGGTCTAGGTGATGGGACCTGACAGCCACCAGTCAGAAGTTTCTTCTACACATGACGGAAGAGCCAATTTCCCTATATTCATGACTTGTGATCCACATGTCCTTGAACATAGGGACAGAGCACAAGATGGAGGCACCTACCCAGGCACCATACTTGGAATATGGAGAAGTGGCCACCTAGAGGGAGGAGAAGGAAACCCACATCAAACACCACTCTAGACTAATGAGAACTCTATTCAGTAAACACACCTGCCCTAAGGCTGACAATTTAGTTAATCCCTAAGACCCACACATTAGAAAGAGGAAACTGACTCCTTCAAGTGGTCCTCTGACCTCCACCAATGTGCTGTGACATGTATGCACTTACACGTATGCACACACATGCACACAAAATAAATGAGGATTAAAAAAAAATACTGTTCATGGGGCTGGTGAGATGGTTTAGTGGATAAAGACCCACCCAACCAAGCCTGTACCTTGGTTCAAATCCTGGGATCCACATACTAGAAAAAAAAAATATTGACTCCCACCAAATGTTCTCTGACATCACACACACATGGGGGGTTGTTTGGGGGGGGCTGGAGGGGTGACTCAATGGTTAAGATCACTGGTTGCTCTTCCAGAGGCCCTGAGTTCAATTCCCAGCACTTACATGGTGGCTCATTTATAACTGTAGTCCCATGAGATCTGATGCCTTCTTCTGATATGTAAATGTACATGCACACAAAACACTCATTTACATAAAGTACCTAAGTAGAAAGTATTCCTTTGGAGGCTGGAATAGTGGCTGAGTGGTTAAAAGCATCTGTTGCTCTTCTAAAGAAACTGGTTCTGTTCCCAGCACTCACCTGGCAACTTACAACCATCTGTAACTCCAGTTTCAGGGATCCTACACCCTTTTCTGGCCTCCATGGGCATTGCATGCACATGGTGCACAGACATACATGCAGGCAGACACTCATACACATACAATAAAAACAAATCTTTTAAAAAGATATTCACTGAAAAAATGTAATTGCTGTGGATAAGACAGACCCACAGTGTCCACACTTTTGTGGGCAGACATCTCTCCCCAGTGGAAAAGATAACCTTTTAATTGGGAGGTGAGGCACATACTTGTGATCCCAGCACTCAGGTGGCAGGGGAGGAGGATCTAGAACAGTCTGGTCTACACAGGTTCATATACATAGTAAGATCTGGGGAGATGGGCTCAGGTGTGAGGACCTGAGTTCAGGATCCTCAGACCCCATGAATAAAGCTGGACAAAGCCTCTGTGTCCTCGTGAACACACACATGAATTCATAAGCAAAAGGAGCCTACATACTCCTCCTGCCCCCCTCCCATAGTCCCATCCCCTTTGGAGTATTCAGTTTGATGCCACCTTCTGAGCAGCTGTTCTATATGTCAGCACCCCAGCCCTGCCACTGTCTACTCTGCAGACTTGAGCCCCTTCCCATCTGTCACTCCTGAGACACTAGCTTAGCGTTTTGTCACCACCCCACCACACACACAAAGGATGTAAATGCCAGGGACTTCTGCCACTTTTGCTATTGGTGCATCCTCAAATGGAAAGAACAATGTCTGGAGCTTTAAGCCGATCTAGAGCTATGCGTGGGTCAGCCCTGAGGCCCCTGGTGAGACTCAAGCCAATACCTTCACACAGATGTCTGGAGAGACCAGCTTTGCTATCTCTCTCTGCAGCCGGAATCGTAGACCTGAGCAGGCACCGGTGCCACCAGATAGCATGATATGACCAAAAAGAGTCTTCCAATGGGAGTAGTCACAGGACGTGATGCTCTCCTGGGCCTGCATGTGGATCCCCGGGTTGTTTCTCCCTGGGGAACAATGTACAAGAGGGCTTTGGGATCAAAGGTCCCAATTTTTAGTATTGTAGACGATACCTTCCTAGGTTCTGAATGGCCCCAAGTGCCACCAAGAACCTCAAGGCCTGTGAACTTCAAGTGGGTCACAAATCTGGCCTGCCAGCACTATCACTGACAAGAGTTGACCTCCCAGGTCTCAGATGAGGTTGGTATCAACAGTTTTGTGGGTTGATATTGTACAGCAGTGTCCAAACTCAGTCTTGGAAAGTTCCACTAAGTAACTACTTTCACTCATCATTTGTTGTATAAGCAAGCAACTGACATCACCTTTGAATGATGGATGTGAAGAGCTAATACAATGGAGCGCCATCAGGATGTGCCTAGAATAGAGCTCTGACATTAGGAACCTGAGGCTGAATTCCTCCCTGGGATCCACCTGGCATCTGAGGAGTACTTTAATGACTTCCCCACACTGGCTGTATTATGCCTTTCATACTATGTGCTCTACCATGCCTACAAACCCCCATCTTGAGAAACTGAGGCAGGAGGATCACCACAAGTTTAAGACAAGCCTAGGCTACATAACAAGTTCCAGACTAGCCTGGGCTACAGACCAAAAACCTGTCTCAAAAAGCAAAAGCAGAGAAAGACTGCATGCTTTCACTATATAGCAGGGAAGACAGAGCTAAGCCCTGCTAGCCACATTTATGGGGAAATGGACAGACAACTTCAAGAGTTTTACCTTAGGAAATACTGGCTTTCCGTGCCTTCCCTAAGCTCTCATTTTTCCTTTCCATGGAGATTTCCTAGTCTATCATTTTCCTGATGTTGAAACAATGACTCACTGTGTAGCCCAGGCTGACTATGAACTCGTGGCCATCCTCCTGCTTCTGCATCCCAGTGCTAGGTGACAGGTGTGCACCACTACAGTGAAGGTGATCCTGAGAGTTAGCATTGTCAGCCTGAAGGGTCTAGCATCCCTGTGGAGACCAGCATCTGGGCATGCCTGAGGGAGTGTCTAGACTGGGTTAACTGAGGAGGGAAGTCCCACATCTTCCCATAGGCTGCGGTCCTGTGTAATATAAAGGAGAAAGCAAGTTGAGCACCAGTGTTCCTCTCTCTACTTCCTGCCCGTGGATGCAGTGTGACCAGCTGCCGCATGCTCCTGATAGACGGTGACCTTGTACTATGAGTCAAAATTCTTTTCTTAAGCTGCTTTGTCAATAGTCAACCCAGGACTCATTAAAAATCCTCTGGATGGGATAGCCTCTAAACTATGGAAACACATCTCTGCTGTGTTGGTGCCTTGTCAATCTCTAATCCCTGATGAAGTATGCTGGGCATCTGTTTCTATACTTGCCTCCTCCGTATTTTGTTTGAAAATGCTGAAACAGTTGAACTCATAACCTCTCCGCTCTACCACCACACCCTTCTTGCCACCTGTATTCCTTCTGTGCTGCTGTTTGTTCATTTTATAAGCCAGATTGTTTTCCGATTATTTGATCTTAAGGTCCTCTTACATGTTTTGGAGCCATTGTTTATCAGATTTTATCCTATTCTCTGGTCTGTCCTCTCATTGTTGACAGTTGCTTGAAGCTGAAGTTTTTTGCTTTTAATAAAATCGTGCTTCTCAATTATTTAAAAAAGAAACTCCATGGAGCCAGGCAGTGGTGGCACACACTTTAATCCCAGAACTTGGGAGTCAGAGGCAGGAGGATCTCTGTGAGTTTGAAGCCAACCTGGTCTACAGAGTGAGTTACAGCACAGCCAAACTACACAGTGAAATCCTTTCTTCAATAATAATAATAATAATAATAATAATAATAATAATAATAAAATACAAAACCCTCTGGCCATTTAGATGCTTAAAGCACTCACAAACTCTGGTTGCTTGTGTTTCTGCCTCCACCATCTTCATTGTTCCATTTCAAAGTGTCCTGTACAGTGACAGAGTTATAAATAGCACTCTACTGAAGAGAGTGGTGCTGTTGCTCTCCGTCTCATTTGTGATTAGGTGGAGTCAAAGGGTCAGCAAAGTGACAGGAGTGTAGGAAGCAGTTGAGCGAGTGGCAGCCAATACCAGGAAAAGGTTAGAGCAGGAAGAATTGCTCCTGAAGCTAAATGCCCTGCAGGCACACTCCGGGCACCTTTCTTCCCATGGCATGCTATGTGAGTGTCCATTGACCTGCTGTCCCCTGATCCTGGACTCACCTATGAGGCTGGTGTTGAAGAGTGCCTCTGAACACATGAAAGCCTCCTTCCCCAGACTGACATTTTTTCCATCAGGCAACTGGAATTTCTTCTGGCTGGAGGATGCTGCAGTTTTTGACATTTCCATATCATAGTCCAATGCCACATAGGAATGTTTCTCTTTCAGGTCCCGGACATACTCACGGTCAGCTGCAGGATAAGGGAAACCAAAAAGCAGGGACGTGTAGGGTGCAACTCATTAGAGTGGGCATAGGAAGGGGGCCCCGCTCCAAACAGCCACTGTGTCCATGCAACCCCTTCAGCATGGTCTTGGCCAGGCTATGGGCCAGGCTTTATAAGGGGGAGAGCATGAGGAAGTAACCCTCATGCTGGGTATCTTCAGCATTGCCTAAAATGCAACCTTGCTGTGTGTGATGTTTGTGGGCCTACAAAAATCCAATTTACATTTATTACCTGGGCATTTTGAACCACCACCATGTCCCTGACTGCAGAACAGTCTTTGTACACTGTAAATATGTATTACTCTCATTAGTTAATAAAAGAGCTGACTGGCCAATAGCCAGACAACAAGTAGGTTAAGCAGGACTTGCAGACAAAAAAAAAAAAAAAAAAAAAAAAAAAAATCCCAAAGAGGAAGAAGGGAAGGAGTCTCAGGAGTCATGAGGAGATAAGAAGAAAAACAAGATGAACAGTCCTGAAGGGTTCCTGCTTCATGGAAGAGTCTGCCAGACATTCTGCAGGACACAGAGAAAAATAACTGACAAACTGCTAATACAGATGCCCAGTTTAAAATTCCCTGCTTCACTGAGAAGTCTGACAGGCACACTATGGCCTATGGGCTGAAGATGGATACCCCAACATTACAGAAGAACTTCGGGGGACTGTCCAGGTAGCAAATGTCTCTGTCAACTCTAGAATTTGTATATTATCCTTCTGTGGTCTTTGATGGAGTTGAAGACACATAGTTATGGTTATAGTTTTCCTTAGGATTAAAGTAAGTTACTTATAAGACTTTAGAATCACAGAGAGAGCATAGATGATAAAATACTTTTTTTAATTCTTTGTAATGATAATGGACTAAGTATTGTAATTATAGTTCTTGCTTAATAACTTTTGTTATATGTAATTTTACTATGCTAAAGCTAAAACCCTTACTTTTATTTAAACGGAAAAGACGAGATGATGGGGAATGTTCCTCTGTATATATATTTGTCTTATTGGTTGATGAATAAAACACTGATTGGCCAAACAGGAAGTGACATACCATGGCAGATACTGCCACTAGCTAACCATAGAAGTCTGGAGGTCTGTACAGACAGGCAGGAAGTGATGTAGCTGAGCATAATCAAAATATAAGCAGGGACAGACAGGAAATTGCTCTCTTCTCTGCAGAGATGTAGTAGGCAAAGGAGATGGAGGGTCAGCATTCCCGGTAAGCAAAGACCATGTGGAAACACTTAGATTGATAGAAATGGGTTAATGTTTAAGACAGAGCTAGCCAATAAGAAACGCTAGTAACAGACCAATAGATTTATAACAAAACAACAACAAAAAAATGGGTTAATTTAAAATGCAAGATCTAGTTAGTAATAAGCCTGAGCATTTATAATTAATATTAAGTCTCTGTGTGGTTATTTAGGAACTCGCTGGTGGGACAGAAAAGTCCGCCTACCCCCTTCCCTTCCCCGCCCAACCCCACCTTGTGCCAGCTGGTCCTCTGGAGGACTGGCAGTGACCTGTGAGACCCCTTTTCTTCCTAGGTTTCTGACAACAGGTTTTAAGATCAGATATGTCTTTTGATTAGGCTTTTATGTTTTATCTGATGTCATCAAGGGACTTCTCTGTGCTGCTTACCTGGAGACCTCACCTGCTCTCCAGCCTGCCAGGGTGAATCACCTGAATCACCCACCACCATATCCTTTTCTTCCAACTACTCCTCCCACATCTTCTCCTTCAACTCACCCATCTCCTCTAGCCCCTCTTCCAACTCTTCCTCTACTTCATCTTCCTTCAGCTCTCCTTCCTCTTCCAACCCCTCCACCATCTTCTCCAATTCTTCCAACTTCTCCATTTCTCCCTCCAACTCCTCCACTTCCTCCCCTCCTGACTTCATTCCTCCCTCTCTTTCCTTCTTCTCCTCCCTCCTCTTCTTATTCATCTTCTCCTCCCCCTTCCTCCCTCTTCCTTTTATTCCAATTGCACACTCCTCTTTTTTCATCTCCTACCTTTTCCTCTTCTTCTTCTGAAACAGGGTCTCATGTAGCTCAGGCTGGCCTCCAATATACTTGTAGCTGAAGATGTTCTCAAGCTCCTAATCCTTATGCCTCCAACTTTAAGCACTATGATTACACATGTATGCCGCCACCCCTGGCCTAACCCAACCTCCTTGCCCGTGTCTCCTCCATCCTCTTTCCAGAGCCTGGGGGCCCCTCTATTCTTTCCCTCCAGCAAATGGTGCTGTCTGCGGCTCCCTTCTCTGTCCCTGGCTTCTGTGACTCTGCTGCATCCCAGTATTTCCCTCCTTCACCTGGTTTGGGTTTGGGTGAAACAATTCTGGGTCACATCCCACTTCTGTCATTTACTTGGCTAACTAATTAATTATTACTTAGAGGTGAATTAGTTATTCTTTTCATTTTGTCTTTTTGTGGTTTTTTTTCTTTTTTTATTTTGTTTTTATCCTTTTTTAAGCTTCCACTTCCTTCATCTGCACAGCATGGGAGTGTGCTGGGAGGAGAGGCAGATAGTGCACTCATGGATCCTGCTAAGAGTGGGCAGCCAGGAACAAGCAAGCACTCTAGCCTGACCAGTTTTCGCCATCCTCCTAGTTGATGCTATTCTTTAGGGCTCCAGGACTCAGCCTTCCACTCCTTGTCTAAGACCAGAAAGACCAATGACCTACTGGGAACAGGTGTCATACACACTGTATAAACTAAAAATCTAGCCCAGGAAGAGGGCACAAAGAGGGGCCAAGCATTATCCTGTCTACGCCCTTAATCAAAGACCCAAGGCCCTTGATCCTTATGGGGTGCTGGTCAAATCTCCTCTGCGATAGAGTAATTACATACACCCTGTTTCAAAAAAGGTGGATGGCATTAAGGCTGAAACCTGAGACTTTCCTTCAGCCTCTGAATGCACGTGCATGCGCACGCATGCGCGCGCTCGCGCACACACACATACATCTATACATACATGCACTGAAAATGAAGGACCTTATACACAGCACTGGTTTATGTGTCTGAAAATTGTTTCCTACCTGTGCTCACTAACAAGTTCCCACTGTCTGACAGCAGTCGCAGGAGGTACACGGTCAGATCTTGGCCAGCTATGTCCAGCTTGGTGGTAGACAGTTGCAGAGGATAGCCATTAATGATAGGCACGAAGTATGTCATCCCTTCTCCAGATTCAATAGTCATTCCTACATAAGAGAACATTCTGTCACCATGTGGGATACATAGCACCCCTTGACAATTGTTAGTTCTGTAGGAATGGATGGTGGAGGGAGAAATAACAGAAGAGAAGGGAAAGGGGTCAAGGAGCTGGCTTCTTTCTAAAGGACATGAACTAGAATGAAGGCCGACCACCCAGTTTGGATATAAGCCTGTAGGTTTTCTTGCTAAACCAAACATGCAATTTTACTAGTAGCTGCCAAAGAGACAAGAGAGGAAGTGTTGTCTGTGTCTGGGTTGACACTGGAACTCTCTGGGGGGTGTCCTGTATTGGGAAAGCCTGAACACAATGCCAGAGGTGTGTGCTTTAGTTTGCAAGGACCCCAGGTGTGCTAGTTCAGAGAGGGTGTGACATGGTAAGGGGCCTACTGCATATGACACAGTGGCTTCTGGGGCAGACTGGGGTCTGGGTGGTTATCAGCTCTTTCCTTTTCTGTAATGAGCCTGGGGATCAAGAAATGCACATTTCAATTAAGCCAAGTAAAATATATGGGGGCTTCCCTTTCTAGCTGTGACAGGGGACAGAGTTGGGCCTCTCTCACCCACAACAGCTGAGAATGACAGAATTTATTCCCAAATATTAGCCATCGTGCACCCATACACCATGGTCCCTGGGAGATGGGAGAAGAACACAGTAGGCCATTGTCATTCATGACCACAGACACAAAACTCCAAAGTGAAATTTTAGCAAATTGATTTCAACAACATGCATTTTAAAAGAATTAAATGGCCTTTGTTTCACAGCTCAAAATCAATATTAATTTATATGATTGCACCAATAGATACATGTTCTAGCTTCATTTCTGTTGCTGTGATAAAAAAAAAAAAAAACACCCTGACAGGAGCAGCTTAGGAGAAAAGGGGGTTTATTTTAGTTTACAATTCCAAGTCATAGTCCATCGTATGAGGAAGTTAAGGCAGGAGCTTCAGACAGCTAGTCAAATCAAATCCACAGTCAAAAACAGGGAAGCAAATACTTGCATGCTTGCATCCTTGCTTGTTCCCAGTCCATTTCCCCATTCATACAGTTCAGGACATCCTGCCTAGAGAATGTAGACACCACCTACAGTGGGCTGGGTCTTTCCCACATCAATTAACTTAGTTAAGATAACCCCTCACAGATACACTCTAAACAAACCCAACATTAGAGAATCCCTCACTGAGACTCCCTTCCCGGGCAATTCTAAGTTATAGCAAGTTGTCAAATCTAATATCACTATTCATAAATTGCACTTTGACAAAATCCAATATCTAGTCCTGATTAAAATAAGAAATTCTCAGTAAATAAGAACACAAGATAAATTACTTAAATTAATGAAGAAAATATGAAACCCACAGCTGATATAGTGTAAGGCTGAATTATCACCCTCTAAAACTGGGGGAAACACGAGGATTTATATCCTCACCACCTTCACTCAGAACAGTGAGGCCGGGGCAGTCAGTAGAAAAGAATGAAACAATTAAGAAAAACACCTGGCTTAGAAATAGTAAAGAAAATGTTAGTTGTCAAAAATATATTTACCACGGGGCTGGCCAGATGGCTTGGGCAGGTTTAAGGCACTTGCAACCAAGCCTAATGACCGAGTTCAATTCCTGGGACCTACATGATATAAAGAGAGAATCAAATCCCAAAAGTTGTCCTCCAATCCCACACATACACCATGGCACACACAATAAATAATGTAATTAAAAAATTTTAAGGTTATACATTTACCAGGCGGTGGTGGCACACACCTCTAATCCCAGCTCAAGGACAGCCTGGTCTACATAGTGAGTTCCAGGGCAGCTAGCTCTATACACAAGACCCTGTCTAAAAAAAATTATATATATATATATGTATATATATATATATATATATATAGAGAGAGAGAGAGAGAGCAATAAATCCTACAAAAATTAGAGTTTTAAGATACAATATCAATGTACAAAAATCAGTTGCTATCTGTGCAATAGCAAGGAGCAATCAGAAATGAAGAGATGGCCAGTTGGCCAGTGCCTATAGCACATAAATGCTGGGGATGGGGGCACATCTCTATAACCCTAGCTCCGGGTGGCTAGGGTTGGGGGAGAGAGAGAGGTGGGTCCCTGAAGTGCATTGGCTAATCAGCCTAGCCAATTGGTTAGCTCTAGTCTAGGTTCTGTGAGCCAAGACGCTGTCTTACAGTTCTAAGGCTTTTGATGTCAACCTCTATCTTTCATATGCACATATACAAGTACACAAACACACACTTGCATGCATGCACATGCAGCAACAAAAACTTGTGTGCACACACAATCACTGTATTAGTCTTTTCATCCTGTGACAATTACTTGAGAGAAACCATTTAAAAGGAGGGAGGACTTTTGGCTGATAGTCTATGCAATTGACCCGTGTTGAGAGGCTGAGCATTGTAGCAAGATCATGGGCTTGAGCAGATGCACTAACAAATGGAAGGCAGGAAACAGGAAATAAAGACAGGTCACAGACCGACCCTATAAGGACATGCCACCATGACTGCCCCCTCCAACTAGACCCTGCTTTCAGTTCCCATTGCCCACTAACCACTGTAGAATTGTGACTCCAACAAAATCAGAGCCCTCGGGATCAGTCACCACTGGAAACCTATGAGCAACAGCCCCACAATAACTCGAGCCTGCAGGGGACATTTCACCCTCAAAAACAACAAATACATCTACTTTCAACAGCATCAGAATGTGTGAGATGAAAGAGGCATGGCCTGGACACTGCGAGTGCTATCCCAGTGCCAGGAGGGACCTAGAGAGCTCTCAGACGCGCCATATGGTCCATGGTTTCTAGACTAGATGCCTCTAAGATTCCTGCTCTTTCAAAAGTGATCCATGCTTCCAACACAGCCTCAAACAAAATCCAAAGATGTGTGGGGCTGAGGATTTTTGTTTGTTTAGTTTTAGGATTTGGTTGTTTTCAGATTCCTTGTGAAAGACCTAGCAGAGCCCACATCTCAAACTCAAGAAATCCAGAGGGTAGGACAAACCACCTCATTTCAAGATTCGTATGAGCCATGGTCATCAAGACCATATGGTATTGACCTAGAATCAGATTAAAAAAAAAAAAAAGTGATGGGACAGGGCCATGAGCTCAGAAGTCAGCTGGGGCATACATGGAAAAGTAATTTTCAAAAAGCTCACAAAGGCATTTCAAGGAAGGAAAAGGAATCTTATCTCTTTTTAGTTTACAAAATGTGATGATGATCATGATGCTGCTGCTGATGATTTTATAGTGTTTAATAATGGCACAAAATGACAGGTTTTCCTGGGGCAGCTTTATACTTGTTAGTTTAGTCATGTCTATTATATACTTCCTCTTGTCAGCATCCTGGTTCCAAATAGGCCCCTTCTACTTCCTTTCTCTTAAAAAAAAAATCTATTTTTATGTTATATGTATAGATGTGTTGCCTTCCCCTCCCCCCCCCCGTGTGTGTGTGTGTGTGTGTGTGTGTGTGTGTGTGTGTGTGTGTGTGTGTGTGTGTACCACATGCCTACTTGATGCCCTTGCTTGAAAGACAGAAGAGGGTGTCAGGCCCTCTGGAACTGGATTTACAGATGGTCATGAGCTTCCACGAGGGTGCTAGGAATTGAACCTAGGTCCTTTGAAAAAGCAGCCAGTGTTCTTAACTGTTGAGACATCTCTCCAGCTCCTACTTTCTTTTCTTAATATTTTTGTTTATTTGAAATGTTGTATATTTATACAATGTATTTTGATCATATCCCCAGTTCCCTCCCTCCAGATCCCTTCATGGCTCACCCCATTACTCCCAACATCATGTCCTCATTATTTTTTGTTATTATTGATGACCCTCTGAGTCCAGTTAATGCTGCCCTTATGCACATAGGTATGGACATGCACTGAGGGACTAGGAGCCTAATAGCAGCCACATCCCCTATGAACGAGAACTTCTGGGAAGACGCTGTCTGCAGAGGATCACTGACTAACCAGAACTTCATTACTGAGGAAAGATTGGAATGTTGCAGGTCCAGAGACTAATTACCTTATCTCAGACTAGCTTTAGCTCCTGGAAAGCTAGCCTAACGCTCTGTTGGAACTAAAGTCCTGTGACTAATAGAAATTTTGGGGATCTATTGACTTAGAAGACCCACTCACTGGCTTCCACCAACCTAAAAGCTAAGAATATCATCTGGTAGCACCTTGAGCCCATAGAAAAACATCCCTATCTGTGGCCATACCACCCTGAACATGCCCAATCTCGTCTGATCTCGGAAGCTAAGCAAGGCCAGGCCTGGTTAGTACTTGGATGGGAGAAAAGTGTCCCCCATCTTGCTGTAACCGCCTCTCTGATGTACCCACTAAGGTGTTTTAAACTTGAACTTGCCCTGGTTTGTTTCCACAATGGAAGATAGGATTTGGGGTAACCTAAATCTGTGCTCCTGAGACATTGTCACTTAAAATGACTCCATAATAAACTATTTCATCTCTTTAAGGGGCTCTCTCTCTCTCTCTCTCTCTCTCTCTGTGTGTGTGTGTGTGTGTGTGTGTGTGTGTGTTGACACCCCAAAGGAGAGTGACCTTCCCTGCCTCAGCACTCATCCATTGTCCACAGCTAAGAGGGGCCTTTTCAATAAACACCACAGGAATACCAACACAAGTGCTTCATTCCTATCTTACGTGATACATTAAAAATCCACTCAAAATGGACCATAGAGCAGAATGTTAAACTAAAAATCTATAAATGTCTAGGAGGAAGCAGAAAGCCTTTGGATCCAGAAAAAATGAATTTTAGATGTGGCACCAAACAAGAAAACATTGATAAATGGGACTTTATTGAAAAGACCGTGGGAAGGGAAGTGGAACCTGGGTGGGCTTGTACCTCTGCATAGCACACATCTGATAAAAGACCTACAAGCAGAACTGGAAAGAGAGTGGTTGCAACATACAGGCAAGCTCATGAGAATCTGGTAAAACACCTGAGGATCGCTGTGCCACCGAGGTAGACACAGAGAGCCAACAAACACAAAGAGGGCATGCTCAGAGTCCTCGGCTCTGAGGGGAGCACATATTTAAAGCAGAAGGGGACACTGTGGCACTTCTAAGAGAATGGCCACAATAAGAAGACTAATCATTCCAAGAACTGGCAAGTGAGATGGTTAGTATCGTCAACTTAACAGGATCTAGACTCGCCAAGACCACAAACCTCTGGGCATGTCTGTGGTGGAGATTCCAGGTTGTGTTAGTAGAAGAGGGAGGACCCACCCTGAATGCTGGTGACACTATCCCATGGGCTGGGGTCCTGGGATGAACACAAAGTGAGCTGAGCACCAGCGTTATCTGTCTGCTCCTTGACTGTGGCTGCAATGTGGCCCAGTTGCCGTTTGCTGCTTCCCTGCCATGACAGACTGTGCCCTCAAACTGTGAGCCAAACTTTCCTTAAGCTGTCCTGTCAGGTGTCTTGTCACAGCAGTGAGGCGGGTGATACAGCTGAACTGGGGAAGAGCCATGGAGAGCCACTGCTGTTCCATATGCTACAGGAAGATCCACTCAGGCGTGCAAATGTTCATAAACCCCCAGACTGGAAACTTCCATCCACAGAGAAGCAAGCAAAGGCTTGGCTCACTGCCACACTACCAGGGGTCAGCAAGAGGAAGTGACCTGTTGGTGGTGATGACAGCATGGAAAGGACCTCCACACAGTGAACAGAGTGAAAAAGCAAGCGATGGCCACCTGCTGGATGCACTGTTCCATTCACAGAGTCTAAAAAACTGGGAGGGGCAGAATGGCACAGTGGGATCCTTGGGGGTGATTGTGGCGGTGGTTTGTGAGCACGTGCAAGCCCTGTTAATTTTATTCAGGAACACCTTAGCAAATCGGTTAAGAAAACCATGAGCATGCATTTTGGGAGCATTCTGTGTCACCAAGAGAAAGAAGGGAAGGAGTGAGAACAAGAGCCAGCTAGCTATGTGTAAGAAATAATTCATTACGGTCCATTTCTGGAGTATGGTGTATTCAGAGCTCCCCGGAGGACCACAGGTAAGGACTCCATTAGGCCCCTGCTGGCAACTGCTAGTTTTTAGTTTCTCTTGGGTTGAAAAGTTATGGTCTGCCAGGTGACTGAGATGAGTATCTGGAGGTGGGAGGGGATCTGGAGGGGACTAGGCTAAAGGAGAGGAAGATTTTAACTCTTTGGAGAACCAGCTTATGGGAAACAGGGCAAGGGTGTTTTTTGCAATCAGGGACCATAAAACCACTGCTTGAGGGCTAAAGCAGTTAAGAGTCTCTACTGCCTTTGCAGAGGATCCATCAAGTGACCCACTACTGCCTGTAACTCAAACTTAAAAAATGATTCCTAAAAAACAAAACAAAGACCAGTTTTTCAACAAATCATAGTCATTTTGCATTTTCTTCAGGCTGACACCCAGCTATAAAAGGTCAAAAAATAAATTGCCTTGCTGTTCACTACGAGTCTCCAGTGCTCTTATTATGAAGTGAGGATCACTGGTGTGTGTGTGTGTGTGTGTGTGTGTGTGTGTGTGTGTGTGTGTGTGTGTGTGTGTGTGAATGTGTAGTGCTTCCTCACATGCCTGCACATATGCAGGAGTTAGAGGACAATCCTCAAGAGTCAGTTCTTTCCTTCTGCCACGTGGGTCCTTGGGATTGAATTTGTATCATTAAACTTGGCACCATTACCTACTGACCCATCTTGCCAGCCCCTTCCTATGCTTTTATTTGTCAGGGAGAGGCTGCTTGCTGTGCTAAGCATCCCCAACCCTGAGAACTAGACAGTGTCTGGGAAGGATGGGGATCCCACAGGGCCACTCACCAGAGGTTCTGCCAGCTGCATACATGGAGAGGACCCCTTGATTAGCCATGTACATGGCAGGGACGTTGAAGGTTTCAAATAGGATCTGGGGAGGAAGATTGGCATGCTGGCTAGCCATGTGGCACACACTGCCCGGGTGCTCATGAGTGCCTCTTACAACAGGCTGTGGATCCAGGGGGACTAAGCCTGAGGTGGCCAGCACCTATCCCCAGATGGCTCTGCTGTGATGTGGCTGTTCCAGTTCATTCTGCAGCTGTGATAAAACACTCTGACCTAAAGCAGCTTAGGGGAGGAAAGGGTTTATTTGGTGACTACCTGCTGATCATGGGTCATTGTTGAGGGAAGTCAATGATGCATCAGGGCAGAAATCAAGGAGGAACAATGTTTCCTAGCTCACTCAAAGGTTTATGCTCAAGCTAGCTTTCTTATATAACCTAGAACCACCTGCAGGGATGATGCTGCCTGTAGTGAGCTGGACCCTCCTACATTAATTAGTAATCAAGACGATCTCTCATGTACATGTGCACAGGCTAACCTGATAATGGCAATTAATTGAGACTTTTTTTCAGGTGGCTGTGGGCTGTGTCAAATTGACAGTTATTGCTAATTAGGACACTGGTGCCCAGTTCCTTCTAGATACTTTTATAATGGATGGTGAGGAGACTGGATGAATCAGGACATAATAGTGAGACCCACTGGGGGCCCTACCTCTCCCTGGTCACTGGACAGGTGTCAGCATTGTGAAAGGGTTTGTGTTAAGGTCTGTGAGTTCATATTGTCAGCATGCTTTGGAGTGTATCTTCCTGTCACTAGGCACTTCAGTCTAACTCCTTAATTAGTGGCTCTTGGATACTCTGTTCCTGCTTGTGCTTGGCTGTCAGTCAAATAGCTAGTCTGACAAAGCCCTTGGCTTGTACCAGCATCTTTACACTCCACAGACACCTTGCAACAACTGGACAAACTGTCATTGCTGATCACCTTCATGGCAGAAAGTGCGGCCCCAGAAAGGGCTGCTTGAAATTGTTTATAGGAATCACTTTGCTGTGAGTATACCTGCTAGTATCTATCTAGACAAGTGATATTGAGTCAGGAGCTGAGGAGGTCAGGTGGTTGGTCCAAGGAGGAGGAAAAGACAGGATAGAGGAAGAGAGGGTAGCTCTAGCCATGGGAGCCAATCATTTGCTTTTCTGATCAGACTAGACTTGAACCTTCATCTCTTTGTGTCTCCATCCTACTGGGTTCCACAGGAGCACACCCTCAGCTCCAGCCAGTAGAGGTTGAGCTCAGCTACACAGCCCCTGCCTTCACAGTTCCTCATAGGCCTCTTTCTTGGTGCACTCACACTCTTATTCCTGTTCGGTTGTCTGCTACAGTTGAGGAGAGGACAGGCAGTTGGGCTGGGGACAGTCTCGCCCCTCTCTTGTCCCACTCTATCTAGTTTGCTGAAACTCTCATGGACATTGGATACTTTGGGGATGAAACCAGTCATACCCAGTCTTCAGGGTAGCCAGCCATGGCCATTTTCATGATCTTTCTGTCTACCTGGGGTGGGGGGTCAGTGGCCAGTTCATAGTTTGTCACTTGTAAACTCACACCCGCACTCTGATGGGTAGAACTGCTGCTTCCAGGTCTAGGTGGTCTAGGCAGATCATGCCTTGGCTCTGGGTCTGCATATGGGGGACTACTCACTGCAGGAGATCCCACTGAGCTCCAGGGTTGCTAGCCAGATGAGCCAGCTTCATCACCTGCTTAGTTAGCTTTCCTGTGTCCTCTATAGGAGAAGCTGAGCCTCAGGATGAGAAGAACTCTGACAGCTGGGGAGGGGCAGCTTCCCGCAGCCACTGCACTTAACCCCACTGCATCCTAAGGAGGACTCTGCCATCTGTACTCTGGCTGGAGTACTCACAGACAGGGATCCATCCTTAAACTCCATCAGCCCCCCACCAACTCCATCACGGCAGGAAGGACCAGCATGAGGCCAAAGACAGGGAACTTTTAAGTCAGGATGGAACAGCAGTCTCCCTTCCTTCCTCACCTGGCCCCAGGCCCCATTACCTGAGTTATTCTTGATTTAACTTCTGTGCTGTTTAACGGTGGCTCTGTTATCATTACAGGGTGCTGCTCAGGGGCAATGTGGAGGACCTGGTAGAAGGAGTGATGCAAAATCTGCAGAGAGAGGACAGTAGGCCAGATGTATGCTGTTCAGAGACATGCTGACTGTTACCTATCACCTATCTATTGATCTACATATCAGATACATGGATTAGCTACTTAAATCATCTTTCTGTCTTCTGTGTAACAATTAGTCTCTATAGACATCATCTACACCTATCTGTTCACCTCACTACCTGTTTATTGTCTATTATCTGTGCGTCTGTTTCTGTCTACTCTGCATCTGCCTGTCTATGTCCATCATCAATCTGTCACTCTGTCATCTATCTACCTATCAATCATCTACCCATCTAACTCAGTGGTTCTCAACCTTTCTAATGCTGTGACCCTTTAATATTGTGTTGATCACCCAACCATAAAATTACTTTGTTGATAAACCATAACTGTAAGTTTGCTACTATTAAGAACCACAGTGTAAATATCTAACATGCAGTATATCTGATAAGTGTGAGCCATGCGTTGAGAACCACTGGTCTAACAGCCTCCTATCTATGCCCATTATTTATTACCTACCTATCGTCTATCATCTCTATTATATATTCCTCCCTCCATCTGACAAATTGGTACAGTTGAGCTCCAGATATGTAGATTTCAAATCTAAAGATTTAGCCAACAAAGAATCAAAACTGTTTGGGGAAAAACTGGGGGCATGGACTGTAACTCAGTTGGTGGAATGTTTCCCTAGCATTCACAAGGCCCTGAGTTCCATCCCCAACACTATATAAACCAGGAATAGCAGTGTACACCTGAAATCCTAGCACTCAAGAAGTAGGGGCAGGAGAGTCAAAGGCCATCTTAAACTACCTAACAAGTTGGAGGCCAGCCTGGGCTACACGAGATCCTATCTCAAAAAAAAAAAAAAAAAAAAAAAAAAAAAAAAGCTGTGCTTGCAGTGAACATATTCAGACTTACTTCCTTGTCACTGTTCTTTAAGCAATTCAGTCCCCAGTAATTTGTGTGGTAACAGTGAAGTTTTGTAGCCCATCTAGAGATGAAATGGGCTTGTTTGGCACCTTGCAAGTACTGCAATTGCACATAGAAATCCAGGGATGTGGTTGTCTAAAATGCCCCTGGACCAGACTCCTTGTTTCCAAAGATGACTGAATTATAGACAGTACCTCTGGCTCACCATCAAAGCAAGATGTAGCATGATCCAGCCTCCAATGATACACCAAGCCTGAAGTTAGGGCATGGAGCTGTCAAGGGTTGGCAGAGGCTGTTAGGGGTTGGCAGGCCCGGGGATTGGCAGGCCCAGTGCTGTCTAAGGGTCTCTCAGGTCTGATGGGTGACAAATACATGCACCAGAACTCAGAGATTAGGTGGAAACAAAGGTGGTTTGGGTGTCACAGAGAAAGCCCAGCAATAATGGAAGTTTGCCACATAACATGTACCTGCCCAGGACCATCAAGATGACCTTAGTTAGCCTCCATCCTCATTTTTAAATGGGAAGAGACTGTCCACCACCTCATGAAGTTCAGGTCTCAGATGACAGGCTGACTGTTCACTCCTGTTGTAAGGTTCTGTCCTCTGAACTAAACTGCCATCATCTTCACTAGATCAGCTGTGCCTGCTTGTAAAAGTCCATCAGGACCAGCTTGTACACTGCTGACATTCCCTCCAGAGAGGATGGACAAGGTCATTAGAGTATCTAGCCACTCATGCCAATGACTTATATAATATTCTGCCCTAATTGCATTGGTCTTGGTGTTTCTGGAGAAGCTGGAGTATATAGGCTAGGATGGGTAGAGGATAGCTCCATCCACTCAGCCATGGGAGTAATGGTTATTTTTTGTTGTCAGCCTGACTATATCTGGAATTAAGTAAAACCCAAAAACTGGCTGGCACTACTTTGGAAGTTTTTTGCTTAGATAATTTGAAGTGGGAAAATCCACTTTTATTCCATTTATTTTGAGATGGGAAGACCCACCTCTAATCTGGGCTACACCTTCTGCTGGAAGCCTATATAAAGGACATGGAAAAAGGAAGCTTATAGTCAGACTTGCTTTGGTCTTCCAGCTCCCAAATAATGACACGGAGACTTTTTATTAATTGTGAAAGTTTAGCCTTAGCTTAGGCTTCTTCCCAATTAGCTTTTATAACTTAAAGTAACCCGTTTATATTAATCTACATTCTGCCATGTGACTCATTACCTCTCCTTAGTATTGTATGACCTACTTCCTCTGTGTCTTGTGGGTGAATTCCCCATGCCAGATTCTAACCCAGAGTTCCTATCTATGCCCTGAAGACCTGCCTATCCTCTTCCCGCCTAGCTATTGGCCATTCAGATCTTTATTAAACCAATTAGAAAGTGCCTAGGCAGGTGAGGTAAAACAGCAACTTATCTTCTGTTGTGGGATATTTGATATCCCGCAACAGAAGCTCTTGCTCTTGCTTGCTTGCTCTTGCTCTCATTGGAAGTCCATTCCTTCACTGGCATTAGAGCCTACTTGAGGATTCCAGAATGCACTGGAGACCAGCTGAGACATCCAACCTCAGGAACTGAACAACTACTGGTTTCTTGGACCTTCCGTTCATAGGCAGCCATGTTGGATTAGCTGGACCACAGCCTGTAAGTCATTTTAACAAATCCCCTTTTTAGACATAGAAAGACTAATTTTATATTTTTGTTACTCTAGAGACCCTGACTAATATACTGGGGAAGCCATCATCCATGCTGATTGAAGGCATTCAGTGTGGCTGTTTTTGGGTCCCCTGTGCTCCTTTTAGTAACCCCTCCTCTATGTTGTATAAGTCAGGCCAGTAAATTCACTGGTTTCCCAGGATGAACTTTTGTTTGTCCTTGGGAGAGGGTTGGCATTCACACCTCGACTGGCGATCTGAGATGGAAGGATATATCACCACTGGCAGCCCTCGAGGCTTGTCTCTTTGGCTTGCTGATGTCATCTTCTCATATGGTCATGCCTTGAACTCCTGACTCTTCTGCTTCTCTCACCCTGGAGCTGGGATGGTAGATGAATACCTCCACACAGCCTAGCCTTAATGGTCTCTGTAAGGGCCTGTCTTGAGCTGGATAACTCAGTGGTCAAGAGTACTATGTGCTCTTGCAGAGGACCTGAATTTGATTCCCAGTAGCCACTTGGTGGCTCACAATATGTAACTCCATTTCCAGAGGATTTGATTATCTCTTCTGGCCTCACAGCCACCAGGCATGCAGGTGGTGCATATACAGACATGTTGACAAAACAGTCATATACATAAAACATAAAAGTTAAATGTAAGCCCAATACTAGCTAGTTTTTTGTCAACACAAAACTAGAGTCATTAGAGAAGAGAACCTCAATTGTTAATCAATTGAGAAAATGTCTGCATAAGATCCAGCTAGAGCCGGGTGGTGGTGGCACATGCCTTTAGTGCAACATTTAGGAGGCAGAGGCAGGAGGATCTCTGTAAATTCAAGGCTAGCCTGGTCTACAAAACAGTTTCCAGGATAACCAGGACTGTCCCATAGAGAAACCCTGTCTCAAACAAATAAACAAAACAAACAAACAAACAAACAAAGGTCCTGCTGTAGGGTATTAATTAGTGATTGATGGGATGGCCTGGTCCATTGTGGGTGGAGCCATCCCTGGGCTGGTGGTCCTGGATTCTATAAGAAATCAGGCTGAGCAAGCCATGAGGAACAAGCCAGTAAACACCCTTCCATGACCTCTGTATCAGCTCCTGCATCCAGGTCCCTGCCCCATGTGAATTCGTGCCCTTATTCCTTTTGATAATGAACTGTTATATAGAACTTTGAGCAAAACAAACTTGCTTTTGGTCATGGTGTTTCTTCACAGCAATGGTAACCCTAAAATAATTCCTGTCTCAAAGCATTCTGAGAATAGGGCTAGAGACTCCAATATAAAAACTTTGGGGAGAGCCAAGTGGTGGTGGCACATGCCTTTAATCCTAGCACTCAGGAGGCCGAGGCAGGTAGATCTCTGAGTTAGAGGCCATCTTAGTCTACGGAGCCAGGGCTGTACAGTAAAACCCTTTCTTGAAAAACAAACAAACAAAAAAACCTTTGGGAACATATTGTGACCACCTACTACAGTAGCACACAGCAGGTTCATAACAAACAGTCCTAGTTATCCTGTATGAAGCTCCTGCCTTCCCAGTCAAGGGGAGGCCACATAGCACTCTGGGAGAGCAACTAGGGACAGCTCCATGGTTAAAGGAGAGTAGAGGACCCAGGAAGCAGATGGTATCTGTGAAGCCACAAAAGCCAGACAGGCTTATTCTTTGATACCCAGCCACTAACAACCCGGAACAGGAGAGTGACATAAGGTACTGTGCTGGGGATGAGTGAGGGACAGGATTGTGGATAAAGGATGGCCCCTCAGAGATGCTGGTATGTGGGTGGATACTTGAAACTATATCTAGAGGCTTAGGAAGAGCCAGGAACAGTGCCACAAAGGATTGGGAAGGCAGTTTGAATCACCCAAAAAACTACCGAGTGGACTGGTGACAAAGGCCTTTATCAAAATCTGTCCACCAGTGTGTGCTTCTCCTGCCCTGGTAGAATCAGCCACCATGATATGGCTTCATGTACCCTCAGAAGCCCAGGGGATATTGTATGAGGAACATGAGGGACATGTCTTGCTGCTGATGGCATAGTCCTTTCTAGCGTTTGTTAGTTCTTGGGCTCAATATGTCTATAAATGAATTCAAGCTGAACTATAGAAGGATTTCTGGCAGTTAGATTAAAAACTCAGGAACTTTTTGAAACTGGTTCCCAACTGTCAAAAGAAGTCATTTCCCTCGTCTGTGGCAGAAGAGACATGGCTCTCCATTGACATGTACTTACGGTAGCATATCAAAGTCCCCGCTGGCCTCCAGGCTCCCTCAGCCCTTACTCACAAATCCTTGTTAGAGATTTCAAAGCTTCCACGCTAGCATCCAGTCCCTTCTCACCTCTTAAGGCTTCCCTCCTCCCAGATACCTGTTTGCTCTCTATACAATGGTAAGAATTTCCCCCTGCTATCACAAGCAGTCTCCCTATCTCCACTATCTAGTCTCTCTCTTGCAGACAGCCCTGGTCATGCCCAGTCTGTTTCTTTTTCTCTGTTCTGGATTCTTCCAGATGCCTCTGCATATTCTCTCTCTCTCTCTCTCTCTCTCTCTCTCTCTCTTTCTCTCTCTCTCTCTCTCTCTCTCTCACACACACACACACACCAAAAAAAAAAAAAAAAAAAACCTTCCCCTTAACCATACCATAGGGCAGCCATTTTGGTGGTTTCTTTACTACACACACACACACCACACACACACACACACACAGAGTGCCACCTTCAGGACCCAAGCTGTGCCCACATTCCTGATCCACAGAAACTGTGAGGTTAGAAGGAGCATCATTGTTTCAAGCCTCTGAACTTGGAACTGACTGGTTAATCTGTGTTAGTGCATTGCTTTTTATCTGAGTTATGATCCCCACAACTCCTGTGTGGAAGCCCCAAGACCTCAGAGGGTCACCATCTCTGGAATACACTGCAGTGGGTGTCACTAGAAACACTGAGAGGAGCTGATATGGGAGTAGTGTGTCCCTGAGCTAATTCAGGTACTACACTAATAAAATAGGGAATTCTGAACCAAACACATATAAGAGGATACCCTGTGGAGATGAGAGCAGAGACTGAGGTAATACTCCACAAGTGAAAGAGTCCCCAAACATTGTCAGCAAGACTTCCAGAAGCCAGGGAGCAGCCTGAGGCAGGCTCTCCCTCAGAGCCCTCAGTAGCAGTCCTTGACCTTGAAGGCTGTGAGGCAACAGATGTCTGAGACTTTTGCTGCTTTGCTGTGGGATTTCATTGCAGCTGCCTCAAGTGCTCAGATCATAAGCAACACACCCTCAAGTGCAGGTGTCATGGACAGCTGTTTAGACCATTCTCTGTGTGTTAACTTATCCACCATTCCCTACCAGCCATGACAGCATAAGAACAATCATATCATCTTATTATAGACAAGGAATCTAAGGCTCCCAAAGGCCATGCCACATGTTCTGGTGGTGTAGGCACTAAGTAGAGGAGGCAGGACTAGAAGAAGTCTCCTGACTAGGACTCCCGAGGCTGTGACTATGGAGCCCTCACCAGAGCTAAGCCCCAACAGCAGATTCTCCCCTCAGTGCTGAGGCAGTGGCTTGACATGACAAGTCCCCTTCCCCAGGGGCTGTAGCTCACCTTCTCCACATTGTCCCAGTTGGTGATGGCTCCCCGGATGATAGGATAGTTTAGGTTCAGTTTTGCTAGATTATTCTGGGTCTCTCCTCCAATGAAACATTCTTCTTCTTCCACCCCCACCAGCAGGTTCTGGAAAACACAGGCAGGACAGGACAGTCCTTGAGAGTGGCAGGCTAGGGCTGGGCCCACTGCACCTGGCCTTCATCTATGGACATGAGCCAGTGTTGTGAGGCTGCTGGAAGCTGGCCCCAATCACTAGCCCAGACATGGAGGCTTTCCAAGCATACACACTTTCAGCAGGGTTACTAGCAAAGGGGCCATTGCCTGAAAGGTCCAGGGCTGCTGAGGGTCACTGTGGGGACACTCACACTGCAGGTGTGGAACTGAGGTCAGCAGAGAAAAACTGAGAGAGGAAAGGCATGGAGGCATATCCTGCACAATTGTTCTGCAAGGCTTGCTGGAAAAGGACCTGTAGCATGAGCTGGCTCTGGGGTTTCAGAAAGATGGCCTACTTTCAAGGTGGACTGAACTTTCCATGCTGTCAGAGGTGGCTGGGCATCTACCTCAGTCCACTAAGAAACAGACATTAAGATCAGAGCTGTGAAGATTTAGTAGGGAACTTGCCTGGTTAGATGAGAAGGGGCAGGGAGCCCAGCAAAGACAGAAGAGCCATCAGGCTATGCCCATGTCTGAGCCTGAGCACAGGAAAAGAAGGAAACAGGAAGGTGGGTGTGTCGGTGTACACGGACTGGCTCAGCAAGGTCATGGAGGAATCCCAGAGTCCCGCCCACTCATCAGAGGAGTCTAGGATCTCCAGGATAAGCTCATGCTTGAGCTAGATGGAAGCAATGTGCATGAGGCAGTAGTGCAACAGGGAAGAGGGGCAAGAGAAGTTGGGAGATATGGTGCAAGTGTGACAGGACAGTCATAGAGTTGGGCAATGTCGCCATGCTGCGATGCTGCGATGCTGCAATGCTGCGATGCTGCATGGGTGCATGGTAGCATCTATTGTCATGTAGCTATGTGGTGGTACTATGCTGCAGTACTACAGTGGTGCATGGTACATAGTGCAATGGTGCCTTGCTGCAGTGGAGCAGCACAGCAATGCTATAGGGCTGCATGGGTGCATGGTGCCATGGTGCAGCCATGCAGCCGTGTGGCAATGCCATGTTGCAGTATTGCAGTGCTATGGTGGTGCATGACACACGAAGAATGACACAATGGTACCTTGCTGCAGTGGAGCATCACAGTGATGCTGTAGGGCTACAGTAGCACCATGCTGCTGGCATGCTGCAGTAGAATAGTAGTTTTTTTTAGTCAGGCCTGTGTGCAAGGTAGCCACATCCAGCTGTACAAAGTGTGGTGTCCTCAGCTATCTTGTCTTTTCCACAGCTTTGGCCTTGGTCAGAGCCAAGATCCCTCCCGAAAGCCCTACCCACTTCTGTCAAGTGGAAGCAATTCCTTCTGTGCTCAGTGACCCCCATGCGCTGCTGGAAGCATGAAGATTGAGATCTCCCAGACTGGAAGACCAGTGGTTCATGGCATTGCCAATGTGTGCCTCCTTGGTGCTTTTCAGAGTGTGGTGATATGAGTGTGGGGACCAGGTCTGATTACCCAGCTTTGAAGCCATTTACTGCAACGAGGTAGACAGGGCTGAGCCTGGTTCCTGTCCCTGGGTGGCCTATGGGCCAGGACTGCAATGGAAAGAATAAATTTGTCCTTGTTCAGCCTCTCCATCCCCTCCAAACCTCCCACCAGAGACTAACCCCACTGCCCTCACACTGCCAGTCACCAGGCCTGGGTAGGGATCAGGGTCACGGAGCCCAGAGGACAGCTGAGTCTCATGCCTGGGAAAGGAAGGAAAAGAACTCTATTGAACATGGGAGCCACTCCTGCTGCCCAGGGCTGGGGAATATGGATGATGGAAGGCCAACAGAGCATATGGATAATGGAAGGCAAAAAGGGGGAGGAGGCAGGCCCAGTAGAGCTGCTTATAGCCTTCATGGAGAGTTGGACTTTTCCCATGCTATGACCCTCTGCTTCGTCCCACATAACTGACCCATGAGCACCGCTGGCCACATGTTCTTTGCACAGTGAGCCCCTTGCTCATGGTTCTGCATTCAAGGGTTCTGTGAACCCATATTCTGCAAATAGCATCTGCCATGACTTTCTCACTCACTGCCATGACACACAACCAACACTGCAACACCTCTCCTCTCTCTCTCTCTCTCTCTCTCTCTCTCTCTCTCACTGTACATGGGTACTTGGTTTATAACTCACACGCTACATAGGTCTGAGTAAGACTGAGTATGAAGATAAAGATTCAGGACTCTCCAGAGTTCCAGGCATCCACTGGGGTTCTCAGGACACACCCACAGATGAGAGGCTCAACTGCACAGTTAATGTACTTCCCCTCCCCTGGGGCTATGGGATGACTGTAGGTACAGTCCACATTAAGATCCTACGCTACAGAAAAAGAGACACTGAACTTCAGAGGAAGCTGGTGGCTATCAGGATAACAGAGGAGGAAGCCACTACCTGTGGGGAGGGGTGCTGCCAATCAACTTCAGAGGAGGGGTTCCTGAAGTGGGAGGAAGTCTGCCAGTAGCTCCCATTGGGACTAGAGGTACTAGACACAAAGAGGCTGCACCCAGAGACAGCGGCCAGTTATGAAGGGTATTGAAATGCCTGCAACCAGAATGGGAGCTGCTTGCTTATGTCCTCTAGTCTGTCCCTAAGGCCACCTTCTTGAGACATCTAACAGAGAGCAGTCAGTATGGAAGTCAGAGCATTGGGAGCTGTGATAGTCACAGTAACCAAAGCAACACAGGAGACTGGAGGATGAAGCCAGGTGTTACTCACGTTATGTTTCAGTTTCCCAATGATGGTGGGGAAGACACCCAGAGGTGCCTCACTTCCTGCAAAGCCCACCTTGCTGAAGCCAGAACCGTAGTCACAGATGAGGGGTGTGCGGTCCATCGTGCTGTGGTGATCTGGACACGCCTGCAGGGAGAGACCACTTCGGCCCTTGTCCCAATGGGTACTGTGTCAGCAACAAGATATGGGCTCCATGTACCTAGAGCAAGGTCTGCCTGAGCAGGAGCCACTCTGCAGGTGCTGTGATTTAGGAATGGAGAGCTTTAAACAGCTGTGTGCACACAGTCATGGGACAGACCCTGTGGTCTGGACAAGGCCAGGCCTCCCTAAGCAGAGCATCATGCATATGGGTGGGGATGAGGCAGCTGGCTTCCTTCCAGCGTGGAAGAACACCACAAGAGTTGCTGCTGGGCTGCAGAGCAATCAAGCAGCTCCAAGCACCCACACTGACAGCTCACAATCACCTGTGACTCCAGGGGGTCTAGTGCCCTCTTCTAGCCTCCTTGGGCACCTACATGCATGTGTTACACATAAATTCATACACATGCACGTACACGTAAATAAAAATAATCCTCAAAATAACTTCTCCCTCATAAAGGTTACAACTGGGCAACACATGAGGTTTCATTTCCACATGTGTAATTACCACCTCACCTAGAACCCTAGGAGCTAGAGGGCCCACAGGGGCATCTTGATCAGCACTCCTGGGTCTCCTACAGAATCAAGTTAATAAAAGCTGGCAAGAAACAAGCCAAGCTAAGGCCAGGAACTCATAATTAATTAAAGTCTCTCTGTGTGATTTATTTGGTAGCTGGGTGAAGGGCCTTCCCAAAAGTCCAAAAAGCTAAAAGAGTAAAACATTCACACTTCATGGGAATACGTTCCATCAACAGGGGTATAAAGGGTTATCATGGCCACGCTTCTCCTGCCTTCTATTTGGAAACCAGAGAACCTGCTGTGAAAACTTCCTCTTTCTTGGTGAGCTTTAACAAGAGGCCTACCTGTGGGTCCCAATTTCTCTCTTCAAAGCATGCTGTTCTGTCTGCCCATGTCCTTAACAACTCTTCTATTAGATTCCTTACCCCATCTGTCCACCTCAGTGTTCCCTGTGAGCCCACATCTGAGAACTTTCATTTGCATATTCCTCTTCTGGAGATCCTAACCTGCTGCTGGGAGTAACTGGTTCATTTTTCATCTTTGTATAGTATTGGTGCTCACTATGTAGATACAAGAACATCTCAAAGACACTTGGTTCCTCTCAAAGATACAACAGTAAATCAGAGTAAAGAGAGTAATTGGCACTTTTGGGATTTTCCAGGGCTTTGATGAACCATCTTTTTGCCAGTGGGGATCCAGCCTCTGGGCCTCTGGACTGACAGTCCAGAGCAGGCAGTGGCTGCTGGAGGCTGGAACGACAGTGACAATTTTTTAAAAATAAGGACAGATACCATGTTGCCCAGTTCTTCCTTCCATGCACAGTCTCTCCCTAGCGTGTGGTACCATGTGATTGCATCTTACCAACAGACAAGGGGGTTCACTCTGTAGCCCAGGCTAGACTCAAACTAATAGCAGTCCTGACTCAGCCTCCTCCAGAGCGCTGGAATTGCAGGTGTGAACCACTATACCTGGCTAGAATTTCTTTCAAATGTCACATGTACACCTGTGAAGCTGCTGGTCTCCACGTGTGCTGAAAAGACTCAACGTGGCCTTCACAGGGAACAGGCCCTCAGGCCCCATTCTCCTCTTACAAGCACAGACAATTAGTGTCATCTTCCAGGTATGGAGAGTTAGTTATCCACCCCCATACAATGCCACCAGCTGCATCTGCCCTGACTGGAGAGGCAGCCTTGGTTTCAATGACAGACAAGGCCTATCCTCTCCATGGAGAACTGAAATTTCCAGGGGGGGAAAAAAGCAAAAAACAAAAAACAAAAACCACACTTGTGTTCAAGATTGTCCAAGGCTGGCTGACTGTGGTTCTCAACCTTCCTAAGCTTCCACTCTTCAATCAGTTCTTCATGCTGTGGTAACCCCCCTAACCATAAAATTATTCTCATTGCTACTTCATAACTGTTAATTTTGATACTTTTATGAATCATAATGTAAATATCTGATATGCAGGATATCTGATGTGTGACCCTGTGGGGTCATGGCCCACAGGTTGAGAACTGCTGGAGTAGACCTTGATGATTATGGAAATTCGAAATGCTACAGTTCAGAGCCTAATTATCCAGGGCTATCGTGAGTCCCATAAGTAGTCACTAATGGCTGGCCCAACTTCCTTGTGCCTATGAGGAGAAGGAAACCTTTGGAAACATTCATTTAGCAGACTACCAGTTTCCACAAACCCCAAAGTAAGAGTGTGATCAGACAGGGTGGGAGGGAGAACTGTGGTTGGAATGTAAAGATCAAAAAAAAAAAAAAAAAAAGGGGGGGTGGGTGGGGGGAGTTAAAAGAAGAATGTGGTCAGAGAGCATCAAAAGCTTTGGGCTGGGATTTCTCCATGCTCTGCTGGCAGAGCTAATCAACTACACACTCTGGCCCTTTCCAGAAGTTTGCCTACTGCTGGCAGAATGACCCAGTGAGACCCCATGACAGGAGTTACTATCAGCCTGGGAGGAAGCATGACTTGGTTTCTAGTCATTTACTCATTTAAAACATATGTTTGTAGCTAGGTATGACTACTCATGCCCAGCACTGAGTAGGTAGAGGCAAACAGATCTAAGTTCAAGCCCAACACTGGCTACATAGTGAGTTCCAGGCCATCCAGGCCTACATAGAAAGACTCTATCTTAAAACCTAACAAAAAAAAAAAAAAAACAGACAACTCCTGGTTTTGGCCAGAAGTAGTTTTGTATATGTCACCATTTCAGGCTTCACAGGGCTTCCTGCTTTCCAAGAATAAACAAAGTCACAGAGATGACCTGGCTCCATTTCCACCTAGAAAGAAATCTTTCTCTCCCCAGAGCACAAAACCATTCATTTTTGCTTAGAAGAAACCAGAAACCTGTCAGACCTGGCTCAGGGTTCTGGAAACAGCTGGGCAGGAGGCTAGGGTCTCCTCGAGGTCTGCGTGCTCCTTGGGGACAGCCTGGGCATCTGTGGCCGATCCCAAGTGTGTTTACTCAGAATCAGCTGATCTTGCTTGGGAACATGTCCCTTTCCTAGTAAAAAGAAAGAAGATTCCAAGACACTTAAGGAGCTGGGACATCCAAGCCAAGCCCAAGAGCCCGAGTGACAGAATGACAGAACCCATGAAGCACAACCTGCCCTCCATTGGGGAGAGCCTCCCCTTCCCCCTTGGCCAGAACCAAATCATGAAGTTAGTGGGAAATGGAACTCACTGCTGTCTCTGAGGGAGACCACAGACCTTCCTCCCACCCCACCCTACCCCCTGCAAGGACAGAGTCCCTGGGTGCTGAAGGCCTTTCCCTGTTGCTGGGACATTTGGACATTGTGACACAGCAGTGACTTCAGGGCCTCACCCAGTCAGGGACATCAGACCCCACTTGAAATGACCTTGTGAGAGAAGCTTCTGGGTTTACACCTGTTCCTCACTGTCCCTGAGTTCATTCTTAATTGTGGTTGTGTGCCATCTGGGATGGCAAGGGATCCAAAAGTCAGATAGTGAAACCTCCTGTAGAGGCGCTGCCCTCAGCTCAGTTTGGTGACCCAGGGCATGATGGGAGATGAAAAGGGATACTCCACTTACAGGGGAAGGAGGAACCCAGGGCTTTGGGCAGGTCCAAGCGATGTCAGAGAAAGAACCTGGTACATTTGCCATGTGGAACCACAGTACAGAGTTGATTCCAGCATTCCAGAAGGGTGTGGCCAGGCAGTGTAGCTTAGAGTGCTTGCTGAGGTGCTGGGTTCCACCACCTGCACCACATAAACCAGCATGGTGCTGAGTACTTGTGCCTTCATTCTAGCACTTGGAAGGTGGAGGCAGGACCTGCACGGCAAGCCTGGGCTATGTGAGATCCTGTCTCACAAAATAAAACAAAACAGAGAAACTGGGTCTTGAAACTGAGCTTCCTCAGAGGCCTTTTGCCATTGCCTTGGTGAGTCAGGACACAAGGGGTCCACAATGGACTACCAGTTATTCATTTTTAACTGGACCTGAGGTGGCTCAAGGCACTTTGGAAAACACCATTATTTCTTACAATCCCATGTGACAATGCCTGCAGTGGATCCTGTCCAAGGTTCCAGTTGAGAGAGGCCACAGACATACAGCCAGGACCTGTTGGCTGGGTAGACATAGTTGCTAGATAACCAGGGTCCAAGGCATGGAAACAGATGGGGACAAATAGAAGGCTTTCTAACAGAACTTTCTAGACTCTGGTTCACGAGTCACAAAGCCATTGCTCGAAGAACAGGTTATCTATTTTGTGGCTATGGGTAGGAGACCTCTACTCTGTCTGCTGAGTGTCCTAGGGATATGGTGGTGGCTCCCAGAGGCCATGGGCTGGAGTACTGTGACCTCCATGCAGATCTGGAAAATGGACTCCCATTTGGTGTTACTACAGTGTGTTGATTACACAGGTCAGTGCTATGCTGGGTGAAGAGCCCTTCAGAGGTACCATCTAGGAGGCTGCTGCAGAAGAATCCAGAGCAAGGAGACTTAGGAAGTCCCTCTAGGAGAAGAGGCTTGTCACCGGGACCATAGTTCTAGGAACTGCAATCTGATTATCCTCCAATGACTGTGGGAGTAGGATTGAGATCAGGGCCTCCCAGTTTCTCAAAGTTCCTTCCTGGTTCCTGGTTCCTGGTTCCTGGTTCCTGGTTCCTGGTTCCTGGTCCAGCACTTGGGAGAGTTCTCAACCAAGGTGCTGAAGCCAGGTAACATGGTTGCAAAACAGAACCATGGCAAGAAAATCTGAAGATGGGGGAGTTTGAAGGCATCAAAGACAGATGATCTTGATGCCCTAAGATGTGGCATCTGTGACTTCTGGCTCACACCTGCCTGTCTGCAAGTCTGCCTGGGAAGGCAGAGGCCTGGGCTTCTCAGAAAACAAATTACTCAAACCAAAGCCACGAGCAAGGCAGCTTTCTGACAACTAACATCCGTGGTTTGTGGAGGAGGCTTGGGGGGGGGGACTAGATGGAGGCTACCATCCCTGAGCCTCTGAGGGCAGGAACAATGGACCCCAGTGTATGGCTTAAATCATCCTTTTTTTCTGGGGGATGATGGGGACAACCTCAGGTATTAGTCCTCACCTTCACCTTCTTTGAGACAGGGTTCTCTGCTGTCTGTCTACAAGCTTCTGGCTCCCATTTTGAAATGAACTGGGATTATAAATGCTCAGATCTGGCTTTTTGTAGATGAGGACTCAGGTCCTTAATCTTATATAGCAGTCACTTCACCCAGTGAACCTGGAGTTCACCAATGCAACTAGGCTGGCCAGCCAGCAAGCCCCAGTAACTCACTTGGCTCTAGTCTCCCCAGGGTATTACCAGCTCACACCACCACACCCAGCTTTTTTGTGTGGGTTCTGAAAAGTAGAACTCAGTCCTCGTGGTTGCATAGCCCTCAAACGAAATTCTTTTAAAATTTATTTAAAGCAGGGGCTGAAGGAACGGTTCAGTGGATAAGAGCACTGGCCCATATTCCAAAGGGCTGGTTTCAACTCCCAGCACCCACATGGCAGCTTACAACCATCTGTAACTCCAGTCTCGGGGATCCAGCTCCTCCTCCTGGTCTCTTACATTCTGTGGTAATTTGAATGTAATTGGCCCCCATAATCTCATAGGAAGTGTCACTACTAGGAGGTGTGGCTTTGTTGGAGTGGGTATGGCCTGGTTGTGGGAAGTGTGTCACTGTGGGGGTGGGATTTGAGGTTTCCTATGCTCAGGATACTGCCCCGTGTATCAGTTGACTTCCTGTTTTCTCTAAGATGTAGCAGTCTCAGCTCCAACACATCTGCCTGCACATTGCCATTTTCTCCATCATGATGATAATAGACGGAACCTCTGGAACTGAAAGGGAGACACCCCAATTTAATATTTTCTTTATAAGAGTTGCTGTGGTCATGGTGTCTCTTCACAGCAATAGAAACCCTAAGACACATATACTGGTAAAGCACCCATACATATAAAATAAAAATAAATAAATCTAAAACAACTTTTAAAAACATTTCCAATCCAGGCAAGCATGGGAATACATGTCTGTAACCCCAGGACTTGGGGGCTGAGGCAAAAGGATTGCCATAGGTTCTGGGCCAGCCTGAACTACATGGGAGACTTTACCTTTTCAGGAAAAAAAAACAAAAAACACAAAAACCTAAAAAGGAAAGACAGTGTGTTCTTAACACTGGCTCCCGTGTTGCATGACAGATCTCAAAATAATGGTCCTGTGTGCAAGGACTCCAAGCATTCTGCCCCAGGTCTCTGGGCCTGTCCCCTGCAGTGGAGCTGGAAAGAAGACATATACCTTTAAACCTGGTCTCAGCTACTTGCCAGGCACATTTTTCAGGGCAAATTCCTTCAATCCCCTCATCTTATAGACTCATTTGGCAGTCACCCAATGTTGTCACAGAAGGTCCCAGTAACCAAGGGCTCTACCTGGAACATGGGTTAAGTTTGTTACACTGCTGTGAAGTTGTGTTCTGAGGGTGGGTTGTAAAACAGGTTTGGGGGTGTCTTGGCCCTGTCACTGGAGCCAACAAGGTAGATCCTGTTATCTCAAGGGTCACAGGACAAATGACCCCTCCAGCCACTCTTAATGTGCCCATGGTTTCTAACACTAAATCTGTCTGGGTCTGTCTAATGCCTGATGGGGAGTTAGGAAACTGTTAGGGTGGCTCCACCCAGAGCACAGTTCATCTGGCCCCACCTTGGAAGTACCACGAAAAGCCTGGTTCAAGGCTGCTCTAAGAACTATAGCTGGTGAGTGGCAGAGGCTAACATAGTCTACGGTCCTGGGCTCTGTGGCTTACTCATCTTCACTCCAGAGACGGAGAAGAGGGCTTCATCTGCTGGAGGCAGGGTAGGCAAGACTGACAGGCCCATAGCAGGCAGAGATCTGGGAGCAGCAAGCACTGAGCACCAGCGGTAAGGGCACCAAGCACCAAAGTCCCAAACCATAGCTGGGATCCCAGGCTAAAACAAACTAGAACCACAGGCAAGCATTACTGACCCTACCACACAAGCTTGAAAGTCTTTCTCCAACAATTCAGAAAGACTGAATTCTGACCTTCAGCACACACAAATGAGGAGGCTGGGGCCAGGAGAGGGTGGGGTCAAGGCTTTACAGCCTTCAGAAGGCAGAGGCAGAGTTCACACATGAACAGTGGGACCTGGTATCTAAGTTTATAGCCACAACACCCTAGTCTCCTTAGGACTTTGTTCGAGCAAGAAATGAAGGTGGCCAATGGAGATGCTTGAAACCCCAGTGACCGCATTCTCAGACAGGCCAGAGGAATACCAAGTTAGGCCGCTGGGATCCAAGCTCTCTCTCCAGGAGCAGCTGTCAATGGCCAACCAGCTCTAACTGGAAGAAGACCAGTTGTGCCCAGGCTGTGGGCACCACTCACCTCTCATTCACCTCTACTTCTCCAGAAACAAAAGTCCAGGCCCAGCTGTGTGGCTTCTCCATTTGTCTGGGGCAGGTAACTATGCTGGCTATCACTGGTAAATAGAATGGACTCCTCACCTCTAATAAGCAAATGGCCCAGCAAAATTCTGGAGTGATGGGAGATTATAGAGGGTTGGGGCACAGTTCACCCCAAATCCCAACAGAACATGATGCTTTGATAGTGCCCTATGCACTGGCTCTGATACTTCCGTCCTATGCCACATAATAACACCCTCACCCCAAACCCTGGACCTGGTCAGGCCCATTCAGGAGACAGCAGTGTGACACATTTAAAAATGCAGATTTAATACAAAGAATTATCCGCAGGGCTAAGAGGATCCTATCTAATTTTACAGAATACCCTGAGTTTTGGGGGCCAGTGTCCCTAATGAAAATGGTTTGGCTGAGGCCAATGGCTGGTGATACATTCTGGGTTGTCTAAGCCAAATCTGTTTACCCCGAACCAAGTGTCTTGGGATGAACAAGAAGCACCTTCCAGAAGAGGGCAGATGGCTGAGCTGCTAAGGGGCTCCTCCGGGAGTCCTGTACTGGAAACCCTGTCATGTCACAAAGACTTTACCAGATTATCAAGGGACTGTGAAGTAGGCAGTGTCCCTGCATATCCCAATGCACAGCCTGGCATTCCTGGGGTAAGAACAAGAAACAACAAGAACCTAAACAAAAAGCCTTTCTCTCGCAGTGGCCTCTGAGCCCTCTGCTGATCAATAATACTGCACATGCCTACAGACAAAAATGACCCAGGGGCCCAGCCCACCATGGCAGAGCAGGAGGGCAAAAGTGGCATAATCAAAATCCTTAGATCCCACACTGTCTTAAGTTTAACAGGAAGGCCCAGTGCTGGGAGACATATGGTAAGCCTAAGCCATCTGGGCAGCAAAGATCATGGGCTCCCAACATAAAGATAGATTTAAAGGGCCGAGGTCCTGGGACCTCAGGATACTGAATAGAGAAAAAGTCAGTCTGCTGGGGGTTCTGTGTGAACTCAGCTTTCCAGCTGCCGCCAGCCAGACAATGTTGGCTCTCCATTCTCCAGATGAGCAAATTCACACCCCTACAGGGGGAAACAGGGATGCCAACCTCCATGCATCCAACTCCACATACTCAATAAAGCCTCCCTATGCCTCCTAGGATGGTCCTCAGAAGATTCCAGGCAGTAGGCGGTAGGGCACTGCGGCAGTGTAGCGCTCCCAGTCGCTGCCATACTTGTTGGCACAACGGTGTTCATCACGAAGGCAGCGGTGGGTGAGCAGGATAGTCATGTAGATGATGTAGAAGTAGGGGAGGAGGTGGCTGCCACCACAAGCCAGGCAGTAGGCCAGGCTGCCCATCAGATCACCAGTATAGTTCAAGTGGCGGGCCATACCCCAGAAACCCGACACCAACAGCTTGCTGTGGTGTTTCTGCCCATCAGCTGATACATAGGAGCACTCGATGGCCTTAGGCTTCTTGCCCCAGATGAGGCAGCGCCCATCTGTCCTGCGGAACAGGTCCTTCTGATGGTTGGCCATTCGGAAGATATAGTAACCCACCAGGCCAAGCAGCAGGATGCCCACAGCATTGGGAGTGGAGAGCTGCACAGGGTGGTATACCAAGTACAGGCCCTGTGGGGAGAGAGGGTAAAAGGAGAGAGGTGAAGGGTAGTCCATCACAGAGCACAGTGGGAGGCAGTGTGGGCTGAGGGTAGGCCCTGGCCCTGCCCCAGGCACATCACACCAGTTTCTTTTTCTGTTAAGGTGTATGCCATACATCTGTAATCCCAGGATTCAGGGGGATGAGGCAGGAGGACTGCAAGTTCAGGACATGTTTGGACAGTTTATGGAAGCCTCAACTCATTTCAAAATAAGTAAGAGAGGGCAGAAGATGTGGTTCAGTGATAGAGCAGTTGCTTAGCGTGTACAAGGTTCAACTCCAAGGACTGGCAAGCAGATGGAGAGAAAAGGAAGGGAAAGGAGGGGAGGAGGAAAACAGGTTGAATACTCCCAGCCCCAGAACACCCTCCCTGATTACAGGGTAAACTGCTTTCTAATCACTTGACTGACTGGGGTCTGCAGCTGCTACATTCTGTGTGCCATGAAGACAACCGTGTTTACATCATCATAAGGTCTAAAAACCGTTTGTTGGATCACCATTGGTTGGAGCTGGTAAATCACATACTATTTACAAAAGTAAACTACACAACACATGAGATAATCTGAATATATTGTGACAACAATTGATTTTACTTATCAACTCAGGTACACATATCTACACAACCACAAGTTGTGGGGATGAGACTAATGTGTGTGTGTGTGTGTGTGTGTGTGTGTGTGTGTGTGTGCGCGCGCAATACATATTGCACCCAGGACACATGAAGCAATCAGAAGAAAGTGTCTGGTGTCTTCCTCTGTTCCTTTGAGGCTAGGTCTCTCCCTGAACCTGGGGCTCAAGGTTTCTTGGCTAGACTAGAAGCTGAGCAAACTTAGTCATCCTGCTGTCTCTGCCCTAGGGTTACAGGCATGCATGAGGCTCCCAGTTTGTTCTCTGGGTGCTGGGATCTGAACTCTGGTCCTCTTGATGGTACAGCACACACTCTTAACCCCTGAAGTTATCTCTCCAGATGATATTAACATTAAATAAGCACTGAGTAAAGCAGATGAACACCCACTATGTGAATGGATCTCATTTAATACACTAAGACCGACCTCCCTTAGGAAAAGGGGATGCTGCCAGTAGGCAGCCTTCCTTCCACCTTGAACTGCAGCAGCAGCCCTCTCCTGGCTTCCAGCTCCCCATTAAAAGTTTGGGACTTACCAGGCCCCATCATCACCCTGACTCCTATTTATCTGCACCTTGAGAGACTCTAAATACAGAATGAAGAATATATTGATGTACACACATCTCATAGCCATATGGCTGTGTCTCCAAACACAAAGGCTAGGTTTCAGGATGCCCCCATGGATACCTGAATCCACGGTGCTCAATCCCTCTAAGTGAGACAGGTATATAGACAGATGTGGTGGCTCTCACCCATAATCCCAGCAGTCAGGCTGAGGCCCAACAGCAAGTTTTTTGAAAAATACTTCCAATGCAAATTTGGCTTAATCTGTGGGCCTTTCAACCCAGAAGCCACTATATTCTGAGGCTGAAACAAGGCCTGCTAGATAAAAAGACTTGTGTTAGTGTGGCCTCTGTCACCAGTTCACACACTGGCACTGCAGATACAATGAGACCACCCGTGAGCAGATGCCCAAACAGTGCAAAACCCTGACCATGTGAGCTGCGCATGGCTCGTGACCTAACAATTAGTGTAAGTCTGGGGCTACACCTATCCAAGTCCTTACTCTCCAACTGCTTTCCCAGTACCCTTGCATAGGTAGCCAGACCACTTCCACAGCCCCTGTCACCTTCAGCAATGCAACCAGCTGCCAGAGGCCCACCTCACTGATTCCCACCAGGAGAGGCCAGCAACAGCCTTCTGTACTGCTCTGAACACCTTCCAGACTCTGATGAGCAGGCGCACTGCTACCACAGGCGCCGACATATCCAAGAAGTGGGGCTTAAGACATACAGCCCAACTTGAGTCACTGCTGGCCACCCTGATGGCTCCATCCTGCCTGGTTAAGTTGGGAGTTCTGCCCTGACTGAAGGGATGACTAGGGACATGTTCACATGGGTGCAATCCCAGGTCCTCCCCAGAGCAACTACAGCTGGCTACAGTGGCTCAGCCTAAGATGGTTCAAAAGCCATTCCATACCATCTGCTGCTCAATTTCTTTACAGTTCAGTCCTCCAAGCCTTATAGATACATTTGCCCAGCTGTGGCTATGTGTGTACTAAGAAAGGCAAGGCTAAGCTATAGTTGGTATAGATGTGTTAAGTGTACTTTCTACTTTTGGTACTTTTCAGTGCAGAGTGGGTGAAGTAGGAACCAGATCCCATGATGGGTCAAAGGTAAACTTTCCCCTCATGGGAGAAGACATTGGTCCAGTGAGCCCCAGGAATTAATACCTCAGCAAGCTTAGCATATGTGTCTGCTCAAGGTCAGCCAGGAGCAACTAAGACCACACAGTCAATGCCCACCAGGCTGGGCATTCTGTCCCACCACCCTGGCTCCTCACCTGCAGAGTGTAGAGATAGGGCAGCCACACGCAGTCACCCCAGCCCAGGTACCACCCAAAGTGGTCATGGCAAATGTCAATGGTCTTCAGGTACCAGGTTTCATTCCAGAAGAAGTCTAACACGTAGATGGCCTACAAGACAGAATTACCACTGTTACTGCCACAGCCCCATGCAAAGGAAGGATGGGCAGTTGGGATACTGCTAAGTAAATTGATTAAGTGACTGTGGGAAAAATCAATGGGTGGAGGGGGCCACTGTCCTTCAGCAGGAAGGGCTCCCAGTTATGGCTCCCATAGGTGACATGAGATGTGGAGCTCAGAGCAGATGTGACTCAGGACAGGGTGAGTATCCCAGCTTTAGCCCCTGACAGCTGCCCTGTGTCAAAGGAGACTGAGGTCCATTTACAGAGATGGGCAAAAAGCAAAGACCCTGTTTGTCACTTCCCACCTCAAGGGAAATGAGGCCACAACCTGTGGCTATGTCTGGGAAACATAGAGAGCCTTCCAGAGACTCCAGACTCACCACTAAGGTGCTAAGTGTGTTAGCCACAGTTGTATAAGCAACAGTGTCAGAGCATTCTGCCCCAGCCAATCCTAAATAAAGGGGAAGTGGCACCTCACACAGGCATGCTGGGATTTGCTTGCAACACCCCCACACAGCCCCAGCTTCCTGAGCCTTGGCTGTGACAGGAAGCCTGAGGAGGCCAGACGACAGTGCTCTGTGAAAAAGTGGACCTCTTTTGTATCCACCTCTGCTCCAACACAGGAGGAACTTCATAGAGGACCACAGAGAGGACCCTTCCAAGAGGCTAATGTCCTGGCCATATCAACTACACCTCAGGTCCACTGGTGCAACTGACCAGAGTCTGTGGGAGGCAGGAACTTAGCCCATCCAGTCTGGTCCCAACCCAGCAGTCAGCCTGCCTGAGCTGTGCCTATGGCCTCCTGCTGGCCTCCTCCTCTGCAATCTCTCTTACCTGGCACTCTGCAGCCCTGTTGGACATACCAGATCCAGGCCACACCCCGACACCACTGGGCATTTTTCTCACTACTTTATTATTACTGTTTTTTTTTTTCTTTTTTGCACATGTGTGTGGGCACATATATATGTAGGTGCATGTGCCTGTCTAGTCTCAATAGTCAGCCTGCTCTGGGAACCCCCTGACTCTGTCTTCTGAGGCTGGAATTACAGGGAGCCACCATGCCCACCAAGCATTTACATGAGTTCTAGGATCTTAACCTTGGCCTTCATGCTTTTAGGGGCAAGCGCTTTAACCACAGAGCCATCTTCCTACTCTTGTTCTTGAAATAGGGTCTCACCCCCTGGTCCAGGCAGCCTTAAACTCCCAACAATCCTTCTGCTGGAGCCTCCTAAGTGATAACTGCTCAGGCATGGATGGAAATCCCCCAAAGGGCCCATGTTGGTCCCTAGTTCTCGATGCTCCAGACAGGCCCTTCCTCAGTGTCTCAACCTCTCCCACTGTGTGAACTACACAAGCCACTGCTTGTGGTCTCCCTTCTCTAGCTGGTTAACAAAGCCCATGTACTCTCAGATCCTATCCTAAGAGTCCAACTGTGCCAGGCCAGATGGCATGGTGTCCACCTTCTCCCTCCTGGGGCTAGCACAACGGCAGTGGCATCCATGTAACAGTAGATTCTCAGCATGTGCTCACTGTGACCTGGGACCCAGCTCTGAACAATGGCATGCTGGGAACTCTCCTAGAGCCCAGCAGGTGTGATGTCCCACCCTCCCTGGCTGCAAAAACATAAAGTTACCTGCAGGACATTGACCAAAATCATGGAGTTGGTCACATGGCCATAAAGCTCCTGTTGCTTGGCAGCAAAGGACAGGTTGATAAGGGTCCAGGCCACAATTCCTGGGCGTCCATTGAAGAATAGCTTGAAGTCAAACCACTTTCCAATACGGGGGTTGAACTCAATACCCATCATATAGTTATAGAAGAAATTGCCTGTGAATTTGCTTAAAAACATCAACAAAAGACACATTAAAAATTTGTTTTAGATTTACTTAATGTGTATGACTGTTTTACCTGCATGCTTGTCTATGTACCATATGTGTACAGTGTCCTCAGAGGCCAGAAGGCCTAGGGATCCCCTGGAACTGGAGTTACAGACAGTTGTGAACTGTCATATGAGTGCTAGGAATCAAACCCAGGTCCTCTGCAAGAGCAGCCAGTGTTCTTAACCACTGAGCCATATTCCCCACCCTCCAAAGACACATTTAATTAACCAGCACATCTTGCTACAGCATGGATACAGCTGTGATCACAAAGCGTCCACTCAGAGGAGAACACAGGCAGCCCTGCCCTTAGCCCCACATCTGCATTTGTTCTCACTCAGTGTGCACTATACACAGCAGAAACACAGAACACAGGATTAAGGGGCAAGTGTCTGGTGCTCACACCCTAAGCTCCAGGGTCCATTTTTCTCCCTGTACCACAAATTCAGAAATCTTGGCCACCTGGCCTCCCAGCAGACCCCTTATTCCAGGTTGGGGATGAGATAATCTGGGTGAAGACCCTTCCTGGGTACAGCCTACTATGCATGCACAGGGATTATTGCTAGCTAAGACATCAGGTTCTCATGTCTACTGCCCACAGTCAGGCTAAGCAGAAAGAACTAAAACATCACATCTGCAAAAGCAGCAACGGCTCTGGGAGCCACAAAAGGCTGTAAACCAGTAACCTGCAGGGCAGGGAAACACAAGCCACACAGCATCCTCATCTGAGGCTGATTCCCCAAAGCCAAAACCATCAGCTAAGGAAGAGATGTTCTGTTTTCATCTGGATTCCTAGGCAAAAGTAAGAACTTCAGAAGACCTCGCAAAGTATCTGTTGATGGTTGGATGGGTGGATGGACGGGTAGATGGGTAGATGGATGGATGGGTGGGTGGGTGGGTGGATGGGTGAGTAGTGGGTGGAAGGACAGATAGACAGATAGGTAAGTAGATGGTTGAGTATATGTGTAGATAGGAGGGTAGGTAGATGGATAAATAGATATATGAGTGAGTGTATGGTGGGTGGATGGATGAATGAATAGATGGGTTGGTATATAGGTTAATGAATGGATAGATGGGTAGATAGATAGATGGGTGTATGGTTGGGTAGGTGGGTAGATAAGTGTGGGGGAGAGATGGATGAGTAAATAGATGTTAGGTAGGTAGGGGGATGGACAGATGGGCAGATGAGTAAATGGATAGGTAGGTAGATGGGATGGAACTGGATGGTTGGAATCTAACGCAAAGTTTCCATGCTTCAAGCAAGCAGGGCTTCTCCTGTCAAACAACTATGGTAACAGTAACAAGATTCTTTTCTAAGGCTAAGGCTGTTTCACAAGAGATAATCCAAAGAAAGAGGCAATGATCTACCTCTGCTGCAGCCAGAAGTTCTGGTTTAGCTGCTCCCATGGCAGCTTTGGTTATTTCTAAAGCAAGGAAATCCAGACTTCCAAAAGGCTGATTCCAGAACTCACTTCTCAGGGCTTCTCAACTTGGGTGGAGGTATCTACCATCCATTCTAGGCTTGAGTAGCCACCAAGGAACCTACCGGTCTTCAGCACTGGTGGGGAACAGGTAGCTCTTGATCATTGCGAATGTGGACACAGCATAGCCCAGAATGTTGGCACACCATAGCAGTGGGATCCAGTTGTCAAAGATGATGGTGGGGGAGAACCAGGATAGGAGGTAAGCATTCAAAAACCAGAGGAGGTGAGTAATGAGCCAGGCTTGCAGCCCATTCACCTCATACTTGTTTACAACCCCTGCAGAAGGAGAATCAAACAGAGCACTCTTGTTGGATCACATGGCCTGGCTGTGTATCTGCCTCACGTCCTACCTGCTCCTTGGCTTCTGTTGCTATAGACCCCTGGCTGGAACCTCTGGGTACTATTCCAGAAGGGGGCGTCTTCTGTAGCATACCTAGGCTTTCCAGCCAGTGGCATCCCTTACACAGTGAGCAAGTGGCTACTCCTACAAAAGTCAGAGTGGGGCACCTCTACAAGTTGTTTCTCATGGTCTTTAGGTAGCAAAGTCAATCAACTGGCAAGTAAGGCAAGGCCAACCCTATGTTCTCCCAGGCTTCACTTGTGTTTGCTGTAGTGCTCCTCTGAAAGATCTCTGCTAGAGAAATAGGCAGGATTCCAACCCATGTCATTAGCACTGGGTAGCTGGACTCCTTGAGGGTTCTTAGAGATGACTCATAGGTTAGTGATAGGGTTGGGCTTGTCACACTGCTATGAAGCAATGGGACTAGAAGACAGCAGAGTCAGGGATTGCCTTCCTGAGTGAAGAAGCTCCATGTCTATAATGGCATGGATGCATGGTGGACAACATCCAAAGCAAATTAGTTCTTATCTGGGACATAGTGTGGGAGAACAGCTCTGAGAGCCAGGGACAAGAGGTGGTCAGGGCAAGACACCTACCAACTCAAAGGCAAAGGTTACCTGCTGGAGTTATGGCACCTTCTTGGACACCTCCCACATAGCCTGGTAAAAATCTGTGGCAGAAGTCAGGAAGCCAGGAGTAAAGAAGCACCTGAAACAGAATTTTAGTCAAAAAATTGGCAGCCTACAGGGGATAGGCTTGTGTGATTTGACCTGTCCTGGTTTTATTGGACAGATATGAACATAAAACACTGAGCTTAGTGTGCCAGGAGCTGAGCAGGCTTCCCACTGAATGTGCAAAATCCTACTCCTGGACGTAACCTTGTAACCTCCCAAGATGAATACATGGGTCCTCCCAACCCATTTCCAAGGCCACTTAAAAATACTGAGGTTTGATCTACACCCCATGAAGCCCACCCTTTCTGTATCATTTAATAGGTTCAAAGTCATGTAATAGGTTCATATGACCTGGCAACCATCACTACAGTCTGATTTTAGAACACTCCCAAAGAGAACCCTAGGATGGGAGAGAAACAACTTGGCTGTTAAGAGCACGGGCTGCTCATCCATGGGAACTGGGTTCGATTCCCAGCACCACCACCCACATGCTCACAACTGTCTATAATCCCAGCTCTAGCTGATCCTATACCATACTCTTCTGTCGTAAGCACAGTGTACATACATACATGTAGGAAAAACATCCATATACATAAAATGAAGAAATTCTTTTTTTTTTTTTTTTTTTTTTTTTTTTTTGGCTTTTTGAGACAGGTTTTTTTCTGTGTAGCCCTGGCTATCCTGGAACTCACTCTGTAGACCAGGCTGGCCTCAAACTCAGAGATCCACCTGCCTCTTCCTCCTGAATGTTAATATTAAAGTCATTTGTCAACACCACCCAGCAAAAAATAAATAAATAAATAAATCTTTATTTTTTTAATTTTAAAAAAGGAGAAGCTCTGTTCCCATTGTCAATTGCTTCTCATCCTTCTCCCACAGTCCCTGGTGACCACCAAATTTCCAGCTGGTTAACATGGTCTAGACGATTCACATAAATGCAATCTTGGCATCTTCCATTTGGCAGCTGTTTCCAACACCAATCTAAAGAGTGGCCTGTATCAGAGCTCTTTCCTGCCTATAGTCTAATAGTATTTGACTTATGGACAGACCACATTATTTATCCTGTCCTCTATTGGACAGTTGGGCTGTTTCTATGTTTTGGCTACCATGACTTATCCTTCTCACCCGAAGGACCAGTGGAATGAAAAGGAGGGCACCCTGTAACACAAAAGCTTGGACCCTGGGAGAGACAAGTCTCAACATAAAATTCTGCCTAGGGAAAAGCAAGATGACTTGTGTCTCATGTGGTTCCCTAACAATCCTATCCTAGGTGTAGACTTAATACACCCTGCCCAACACCCAACCTGTGAAGGCTGCTCCTGCCCAATGAGCAGATCAGAGAGGCTCCATCACAGACAAAAACACCTTTGACCAGGACTATCTGGCAACCTGTGGAAGCAGTAGCCCTGGTTTTACCAAGAGTCTAGAACATCCCTTCCCAGGGGCTACTGTGAGAAAGATTCCAGTTGTGTGTAGGGTCTCCCTAGGCCAGCCTATGCCCTCCCATGCAGTCTTGTTCACTGCTTGGTAGGGCATACTGCTGAGCTATAGCCAGGTGCTACAAATCATGAAGGATACAATGTGAGACACAGATGCTTCCTGCTCTGTATCTATTTCTAGGTAACTGCTGCATCCTGAGAATGTAAGCATCACTCTGAATCAGAAGCCTGCATCTCAGACAAGACCCTAGCAGCAGAACATGTTCCTCATCTACTGAACCCCAGCTCCAAGACAGAGGACTGACCTGGAAGCTGACCCACAAGGTGTACAGTTGAACAGCTTTAGCTGTCACAGGTGGTGTCTTGGCCCAGATGTCTGCCAGACTAGCATGGCCGGTGGCTATGTCCACTATGGGAGTGGTCAACGAGCAGCTGTACTGGTCACATGCCATGATGAAGTAGTACACAATGAATGGTGCAAAGAGCAGCAGAAAAATGATGCTGGCTAGGGAGAACCAGTCCACTTCCCTGAGAGAAGAACAAAGAGTGGTCACATGAGACATCCTGTTCTCAAGCCCCTCGGGACTTACAGACTTCCTTCTGTCTTTGGATTCCATAATAGGGGTTTTTAAGACACCCTTCCAGACCAGGGATCTCTGAAATGTTCCTCCCATCCCTTGGGCCCTATGGGGGACTCTGAGATTCCCTTTTGTCCCTCAGACCCCATGGTGGGATACCTAAGACACCCTTCCATCCCTCCGAGACTCTTCTGTCCCTTGAGCCCCATAGGGGTCTCTGACATGCCCTCCAATCCCCGTGGGTCACATGGGGGTCTCCAAGGTATCCTCATATGTGTGGGACTGTCCTTCACACCACTCAGAAAGGGTATCTGTTCAGCAAACCCTCCAGCCAAGGCAGGTCACTCTTGCTGCTCATATGTCATCACCAGAAAATGTCCTATCTTGTGGCCACCAACAAAAAGCCCAGGCATGAGTACAGAGGGCAGTTTACAACCCTCAAGGCCAGTAGCTTCCCTAGTCCTTAGCCAGGGAGGATACTTAACACACAAGGTACTCACATTGCTCAAGGGCAGAGAGAGCACCAAGACATCAACACAGCTAGGTGGCAGGGCTCCAGATGACCCCTAGGCCATCTGAACTACCTAGTGTCCTGGCAGGGTAAGGTAGAGGAAAGTCACACACCTGAGCTCAGGTAACAAGTTTCATTTAAAACATAGGCATGCTGAAAATGGGTTTGCAAATTACCGTTAGGCCATGAGCGTGGGGTGCTTATTTATGAGTCCTCTCCCTAAGATACCTCAGGATATACACACAGATATCTCAATATACAAGCAAAAGAATTAGTCAGACACGAGACAATTCCCAGCCCCAAGCATTTTGGACAAGGGATACCCAAAATGGTTCCTAGGGTTTTCTTTCCAATTCTTTACTTTGTAGAATGGGAAACAGCTTACCTTTCATTTGTCTTTAAATAAAAGTTTTTTTTCTAGATCCATAACATCTCTGAGGCTGAAACCCTTGAGATCCCAGCTTACTCTCTAGCTGGTAAAACATATGAACCACTTACCAGGCCCGGCCCCATTGTCCTTGAGATTCAGCCTTGCCATTGGGACTCTTGGTTTTAGGGATGCTGTGCTGGGATTTTGAAGCCATCAGGTCCTGTTGGTAGAAAAGAGCTTTAGACTCTCCCACAAAGCCAGACCCCACCAGGACCTGAGCTCTGAGCAGAACAGGTATCTTTTACAGTTTACTGGGACCTACCTGACCACCCATACCAGATTCTGGGGTGTGGGGAGGGGAAGAAGAAGGTTTTAGGCTCCTTCCTGAGCCTGCACTCCCTCCACTTCTGACCTCTCCTATTAATTCATTTCCCAGCTGTGGCAGATGTCCTTCCTATGCAAGGACTAGCTCTGCCTGCCTATCCCTGCTCCGCCAGACCCTAGGGGTCCTTACAATCTTTCAATATGGCTCTCAGCCTTCTTGGTGGCTCTGCTCTGAGCATCTTTACAGGGATTCTTGTCTGGCATTGGTGTGAAAGGCCCCCTTCTCAGTAGACTGTGACTAGCAATGGCAAGTGGCTTCCCTCTCAGGTAACATGTTCCTTTAATTTCTGAGTAACTCTGCTCACAGTGCAGGCATGTTTTGTCTGTGTTCCTGTGCACTGTCCATCTCCCTCCAGTATAAGGCAGCTCCCTTTTCATCCCTCCACCACCAGGGCCTAGAACAGTACCCGGGGTCGGGGAGAGCACTTCAAAGATAAGGTCTCCAGATATCTCCTCCATCCCAGTGCATGAGGACCTGAGGTCAGTGGTGGGGGAAAAAAAAAAAAAAGATCCAGGCTCAGCAGCACAGGCCTTGCAAACCCAGTGCTAGGAAGAAAGCAGAGACAAGAGGAGCCCTGGGGTTCTGTGGCAGGCAGTCTAGCCAAATCAGCCAACTAAAAGTTCAGCATGAGATGCTGTCTCAAAAGCTAAGGTGGAGAGCCAGTAAAGAGAACGCCCAACCTTTACCTCCACATGCACACACACACACACGTACACATGTACACACATATTGCACACACACAAATACACACACATAAAAGCTATCAGAGAAACCAGGATTAAGAGCCATAGCAGGGATGTCAGGATGGCTCAGCAGATTAGGAAAGATGTCTGTCACCAAATCCAACAACCTGAGTTTGATCCCCAGAACTAACTACATGGCAGATGAAAACCAACTTCCAAAAGTTGTCTTCTGACCTCCACTCACACACTCAAGTGACACATGGTCACCCATCCACACACACACACACATGCACACAAAATAATGTTTAAATGAAATGAAAATATAAAAGGGAGCACAGTAGGCTTGGCTGTCTTAAGAGTCAACTAAATGACAGAGGCAGTAGATGAAAAATTCTAGAACAATTTTTTTCTTGATTAGAATTCTGTTCCTTCCTGGGCTTGGTGGCACCTGTCTTTAATCCCAGCCCTCAAGAGGCAGAAGCGGGTTTGAGGCCAACCTAGCCAACATAATGAGGTCTAGGCCAGCCAGCCCTAAATAGTGAAACCCTGCCTCAAACAAACAAACAAACAAACAAAAAAGGAACTATGTTCCCAGACCATTATGGAGTAAAACCAGCATTAGACCTAGGAAATGGTTTTAAGAGCTGCTCAAGGGGGCTGGAGACATGGCTCAAGGATTAGGGGCACTGACATTTATCCCCAGCACCCACATGGCAGCTCACAACCATCTTTAACTCCAGTTCCAGGAGAACCAATGCCCTCTCCTGGCCTCCATGGGCACTGCATGAATGTGCTAAACAGACACACAGGCAAGTAAATACACAAAAAATAAAACTGCCAAGGGATTGCCCAGTGCAAGGGCAGTGCCCAGGATAATGGCTACACATCTACCCAGACAGAAACCGCCCCACACTCGTATAGAGGGAATAAAATGAGTGTTCAGAAAAACTGTTGATATGCTAGAAAGTTCTATGAGACATTTGGGGGAAAAAATTACAACAGATACACTGAAATCTTAGCCAATTTGGACAGTGAGGAGACTAAAACAGAAAGTTACATGAAGGGAAAATGAAGCCATAATTACACTAAGTATTTGAATGTCTATGCCAAAATTGCCCAAACATAATCTGTCATGAAGGATTAAGAGGATGAGCACTCAATCGAACCCTGCAGCTGGGAGGAGAGACCTTCCAGAGGTGATTAGAATTAGGTTATATCACAAATGTGAGAACCTACCACTGGGATTATGGCTTTATAAGGGAACAAGACCTGAGCTGGGTCTGTGTCACAATGATGTCCTGAGCCACTTTTAGAACAAATTCAGGTCCTCAGGCTCACATGGCAAGCATTTTACCCACTGGGTCCATCTCCTTAGTCCAAACCTTCATTCATTATTTATTATCCATCTGTGGTATTCTGTTACAGCCACTAAGGCAGAGCATTATTTGGCTCAAAAGTAAGAGTGATTCTGCCATAACAGCATAAACTCTGTGTGTCTGTGTATGTAAAATTGAAAATTCCTTAGAGATAAGCAGGTACAGATGGGAACAAAAATGTAGATAAGAGGACAAAAAGAATTTGCTACAATGTAAGATACAGTAAGGGACTGGTGTGGTCAGAAGGATGGCAGAAGTCCCACAGTATTACTCTTCCAAGGCTTGCCATTTCAGTTAGGCTGGCTGGCCAGCAAGCTCCTGGGTCCACATGTTTCCGTCCCCAATGATGGGATTATAGTCACATGTGTTGTGGTATATTACTTTAACTATGTAAAGGTGTGTTACATTTGTTTATGCTGTACTTGTTTAATTATGTAAAGATGTGTTGCTGTTTCACCTTGCCTGCCTAAGGCACCCACCTGACCTAATAAAGAGCTGAACAGCCAACAGCTAAGCAGAGAAAGGATAGGCAGGACTGGAGGGCAAAGAGAATAAATAGGAGAAATCCAGGCTGAAGAAGAGTGAGAGAAGAGAAGAGAATGAAGGAGAAAGAGAAGGAGACAACAGGGCCAGTCAGCTGCCAGCCAGACACAGAGTAGGACATACAGAATGGAAGGTAAATGCCCCAAGGCAAAATGCAGATGAAGAGAAACATGATAATATAAGAACTAGAGGGACAAGCATAAGATAAGGCTGAGCATTCATAACTAATGATAAGCCTCCATGTCATGATTTGGGAGCTGGTTGGTAGCCCAAAGGGAAGCCTGATAGACACATTCATCCATTCTATTTTCTATTAGTGTTGGGGCTTTGGACCCTGTTCCCCACACTTGCACAGCAGCAAGCAGTCTTACCCAGTGAGTTGTCTTCTTAGCTCCTAGGACCAACTTTAAAAAAAAAAAAAAATCTTTTGACACCTTAGTTTTTCAGTGAGAGAATAATAAATCACTGTTCTAATCCACACTCGTGTCAAAATTTTCCATGGGGAAAGGCATGTTGCCACATAATACAAGAGCTACAGCAGCTTCCAACATGGAAGCTTCTACAGGAAGGCTGGAGAACAAAACAGCCAGGCCCCTCTGTGCAGTCCTATCATGTTGCATGCTCTCCAAGTACTCCCTACTTATATCTGTAGAATTGATGTAGAGAAAGATTATTACCTCCGGCTGGGGAGAGGACTCTGAGGTTAGAACATTTGCTTGCTCATAAGCCTAAAGACCAGAGTTTGGACCTCTATGACCCACACAAATGCCAGGTAAGCATAGCAGCTTCACCTGTAATTCCAGCCTCAGAAAGCAGAGACAGGGTCCCCAGAGCAAGCTCGATGGTGACACTAGCTCTTATAAGAGCTTCAGGTTTAATGAAAAGACTGCCTCCTACCTTGAAGAAAACAGAGAGCCACTGGGAAACTCCACAAGTGTGGGGGCGGGGGGGGGGACATATGCAAAAAGAAAAGGGGGCAAGAGGGAGAGATCTGCCTCTAAGAAGTCTTTGCTCTCCAGCAACTCTGGCTTCAGAACCTGTGCTGCCTGGGTATGTCAGCCTGCCTTTGACAGCCCAACTCCAGAAGCTGTCACATTGCTTCGCACACACAGCGTACATGATGTATGGCCCCATTTGCAGGCCCACGCAGCAGCCAACGGTACCACTATCTCCTCCATCTCTGGTGCCTACACTAATGAAAGTAAACCCAGGACCACGTGCCCACATGCCTTCCAGCAGGCTCAGCAGAGGGAACTAGCATTCTTCTTGCCCTGACTCACAGATAAGCCTCAAGGATATAAAGCTTGGCACCAACATTACTTTCTGATAATCTAACGCGCTAGAAAATTGCGAAAGCCAATGAGGAAAGAACTTCAGACCTAAACGTTGAAGATGATAAGGAATGGTGCCCGCTGAATGCACATCTTCCTTCCTTCCTTCCTTCCTTCCTTCCTTCCTTCCTTCCTTCCTTCCTTCCTTCCTTTTGCTGAAGCTCATAGCCTGAGTGCAATTCCTAAGACCCAGGTGGTAAAGGGAGAACTAACTCCTAAATGTTATCCTCTGACCTCTATGCACTACGGCACACCCCCTCCCTCTAAAAAAAGTAAATAAAATGTAATTAAAATAACTAGTGGGGCTGTACTGTGGCTCAGTTGGTAGAGTTGGACACAAAGCCCTGGATTCAATCTCCAACACCACATAAACTGGGTGAGGTAGTGCACACCTATAATCCCAGCACTTGGGAGATGGAGGCAGGAGGATTAGGAGTTCAAAGCCATCCTAAACTACACAGACAGTTCAAGGCCAGCTTGGACTACATGAGACTCTGAAAAAATACAAAAGTATTTAAAATTTATTTGGAGGTCATGTATCTGGCCATACCTCTGTCACAGGCACCAAATTCTGTGAAAAAATACAGCCTGTCCAGAGCATCTGGGTAGAGACCAAGGGTAGAGGGGATCCCCTTCTACTCCTGAACCTCACAGAGCAACTGACACATGACTGCTGCACTGATTTCTTCTTTTAGGGGTTGCTTTTTGGAGGTTTTATGTTTATCTTATGTGTATGGGGATTTTGCCTGTGTATATGTCTGTATACCACATGCATGCAGTACTCACAAAGGGCTGAAGAGAATGTCAGGTCCCCTGGAACTACAAGGAGTTACAGCTGGTTTGAGCCACCATGTGGGTGCTTGGCATCAAACCCAGGTCCTCTGGGAGAGCAGCCAGTACTCTTTGCCACAGAGCCACCTCTCCAGCCCATTCTTCAGTTTTTAAAACACAGGCATCGTGAGCAGCATACTTTTGACCTCTGGGCCAGAGGTTTCACAACAGAATGAAGTTGCCTTTCTTAGAAGTGGCTCTAGAAATGTCCAGGCACAGAAGTCCCCCAAGGTCCATATACTGAGCAACACCCTGCCACAGAGACCACAAAGTCACCCAGGCAGCTGAAATGTCAAGGTCAAAGGCAGGAAGGATCCACACTGCATATATCAAGGTCACTGCTGATATAAAGCAGGAGACAAGCTCAGGGTTTGTCACTCAACACTCAACAGAGTCCATCTAGGGATGACTAAACCATGTCAGCAAGGAGCGTAGAGGTCTACACTGGGGTGGTTGGGTGGATATTTTCATCCAACCCACTCAGAGGTGCTGGACCCAGCACAGGCAGGCCACAGATGTTAACAGAACCTCCTAGCATGCTAACAACTGCAATATGTAAAACCATTCTGGCACATCCCTTACCCTGAGGCTGACACATCCCCATGGAACATACTAGAAGCCACTGAGATGCCAAAACCACAGAGTAGCTCACAAAACCAGTATCTATGGGAATGCAAGAGAATGGAGGACCTATTGAGTATCCCATGGCATGTAAGTCTATGTCCCCAAGGATTTGTGTCAGTCATCATTATAAACAACAGATGAAGAAGGTTCACTGGTGTCCCACATGTTAAATAAACCAATGGACCAGGCATAGTGATGCTCATCTTTAGTCCCAGCACTTCGGAGGCAAAGCAGACCTGTGAATTTCAGGCCTTACTGATCTACATAATGAGTTCTAGGCTAGCAGAGCAACAACAACAAGAAAGAGTGGGGGGAAGGAGGGAAAAAAGGAGAGAGGGAGAGAGGGAGGGAGGGAGGGAAGAAAATAATATAACGCAGGTCAAGAAGGCCAAAGGTTTTCTTCAGTCAAATAGACATAAGCCAAAGTCAAGAGACAGTCAAAGGACACACTAAGATACCATCTGTAGCCTGGCCACACAGCAACTGGAAAAACATCTGCCACACCTAAGGCAGTGCAATGATTTCAATGACATTTCAGGAGGAGAAAAGCAAATAGTGCTCACAATGAACCTCCATGGCCATAAGATCTGAAGGGAGGGTCCTGTGGGAAGCCAACATCTGACATGGAAACAACTGTAAAGGAAACTACTGCTACTTAGAGCAGAATGCCTGTGGCCTTGAGAGGTGACACCCAGCCACCCTTCCTTCTGGATTGTCACGTAGCCTTGAACTTGCTATGTAGTCAAGAATGACCTTGAATTTCTGATACTTCAGCCTTCACCTCCTAAGTACTAGGGTTATAGGTGTATGCCACCTCAGTTTTTAATTATTATTATTATTATTTATCCCATGGAGGGGAGCATGCGTGGAGGTCAGCAGACAGCAACTAAATCAGCAAAAACTTGTGATACTGCACTGTACAGACTAACCTTCTGGTTACTGGGGCATGGTAAAGCAAAACAAACCTTTCAGTATCTCTCATGGTTTCTGCAGGTCAGAAATTAGGGGAGAGATGGATTGGTTTTGAGGATGTGTCATGGGAGTAGCCAGCTGTACATTAGTTTCAGGTGCCCAGACTCTCCTCCCACAGGCCCATGTAGGCTCACTTGGCCTAGCTTATGAGTAGCCTCGAGGCAGTGACAGCGCTCACAAGGACAGTGCTGGGAAAAGGGAAACCTTCCAGATCCCGCGTTGGAAGGTATAAGACATCATCAGACCCTAGTGGCTACAGTTCAGCCCACATCCTGAAGGGGCAGCAGGACAGTATAGCTAGAGGAGCTGCTGCTGGGACTGTCCTGGGATGACACAGCCTGTCCCCAGCAGCTACCATCCAGTCAGCATCCACCAAGAGCGCAGTGACCAGCCCACCTAAAGAATGAGCAATGTTACAGCCACCTACTTCATACACTGGGGAAGAAGGCAAGGCAACATGCTAAGTGCTAACATGGCCTAAGAGACAAGGCTGGGTCTTGTGCTCCACTTTTGGCACAATGGGAGGCTGTGGAGTAATGATGACATGGATAACTCTGCATATCAAACTCCAGTGACCTTCCATGTAGGGAGGCATCTATGTTGCTGGAATTTTCCAGAAGCAATAGGGTGTCCAAACTGGAGATTTGTTATCCCCTAGTATGGTGTTGGATTTGGTAGGAAATCCCGGAAATGGGAACATGGTGAGAAGCATGTCCCCTTGCATGTACTGACAGGAATTTGTCCTGGGTAATACTCAGGGCACTGGCAACGGGCAAAAGCAAGAACTTCCTGCAGTGCCTTGTACAGACACGAAAAGTGGTATCACACCCACTGACAATCATCAGAGAAATCAGATGCTGTGGCACCCAGTGCTACAAAGAGCAGGCTCTGCAGGTGTCAGCAGCGCCAGCCCCTACCATATCATGGAAGGACCCAGAAGACAAAGGGTTCCACTTGGCTCCTCTGGAAGCATTACAATGGGGGCACATTGGATTTTCCTCTTTTTCTATCAGACAAGCTTCAGTGATTAAATGACATCTGTGAGTCTACTGTGTCCCACCCCTTTCCCCAGGTCAAATGAGGCTGGGCTCTGGAATGATCCAAAGCTGCAGAACTCTGGTCTGACTTGTCTTGAAAGCTTGGGGTACCTGTAGAGGAACTGTGGTTCCTGAAGCCCCCAGAAATAAGCATGAGCCCAACAAGGAAGGGAATGACCTGACACCCTAATTCTTTGGAATAATTTCTGGTTCTAACCAAAGCTACAGGTCCCCTGCTTTTCAGAAGTTCCAAAATATACATCAAATGTGAAACTTTTCTCCTCCTTCAAGTCCATCGCAGGCCTCATTACCCTCCCAGATTGTTCCACAGATCATTTACACAATCTTCTGTCCCATCTTTCTGTCCAAAAGCTATTCTTCACCTAATTCTTTGGCAGCATGGCTTTACTGTACTCTACTCAGTGCACTTCTTCCTGACATGCAGACCCACTATGCCCATCGGCTACTTTGGCTTTTTGTTTTGTTTTAAGGAGCATATTCAGGAAGATTCTACCAAAAGTAGCTCAAAACTTAAAGATGTTCTGTTGTTTCAATTCTTCCTCTGAAAACCGTCTTGATCTTTAGCAGGATGGGGGACTCTCCACAACCTGGGGAGGCCAGATATGCCTATATCTTCCCAGGACCCTCATGCCAGCAGGCAATCCATCTGTCTCCTGGGAGATTAAATAGAATCATTCAAATTCTACTTTAGAGATTCACCAAAATGAATGTACCCTGGAGTAGGAGCATGGGTCAATGGTTGTATCTACACTTAACCCTCTACACCTGAACATTTGCAAGTCTCCCAGGGAGCTGGGTATTCGTCTCACCAGAGATACCTGACTCTCCCACCTACAGGCCCCAGCTAAACTAAGCAAGGTCCACCTCTGTACTTGCTCGCAGATTCACCTGCCCATCCGAATGAGCAAGCACCCCATCCCTGCCCTGCCACCACCGTCGCCACCACCGGGCCCATAGTCCCCTTCCCCAAGCACACATCTCTCCAAACTCGAGCACACAGCTCCCTCTCCTGTGCACATGTCTCTGATCTGCACACTGGTCCCCTCACCTGCGCACACGCCTCCAAATCTGCACATTTATTCCCCAATCTCCCCCAAAACCTGTGCAAATGCGCATGCCCCAATCGACATACACATTCACATCACACGCACATCCTCCCATGTCACACATCATCTCCTTTCCTGAAAACTCGCTCAACCCCCCCCCCCCCGCCAATTGTACATACGGCCCCCTCTCCTGCGTTCTCGACGACCCCCTATCCCCAGTCTGTGTGTATGGTCCCACTCCCTCACTCTGTCCTGGTCAATGGACACAGAACCTCACCTGCTCGTGGGATCCAGGCGTTGACCCGCGATCTGCTGCGGTGCCTAAGTGTCCGCCTGAAGCTCCTCCCCCAAGTGACGTATTTCACGGACGACCAATTGGGAGTGGATTTCGCAAGCCGCGTCCTGCGATTGGTGAAGGCAGTGAGCTGACTCGGAGCCCACCGGGCCCGCCAGTCGGTGGCGGCGGGCTTAAGATTGACAGCAGGGCCGGCCCCGCCCCGCCCACGCCCCCCCCGGGGGTTCTCGGGTCCCACCCAGCTTGGTGAAAAAAGGATGCAAATTTGCCCTCCACCACGCAGGCTCCGAGCCCGCCCCTCCAAAGCCTCCATTTACCCTGCTGCAAAGCCCCTACCTAAAGGAGCATCTGGTGCACAGCGGCAGGACCAGGAGACCTGACTAACCCATAAAGGAGGGGGCAGCTAGCGAAGGGGTGAAGGCAGCTGAGGCCCTAGCCTGACAGCCCAACAGGCCCCCTCGTGGGCAGGACTCAGTCACACCTCCGTCCCCAGGAAGGTATTTGGGGAAAGCCCAGCCTCATTCAAGCCAGCGGAGTCTTAACACAGCAGCTGTGAACAACTGCAGAGGTTTCATTCTCTTCAACTCTTTCCTCCCCGCCACCTGACATTAGTAACATTCACCCCATCCCACCCCTCCAACCCCGCCCAGCGACAGTCTCCTCTGCTGCCACGACAAAAGAAACGGAAAACGGAAATGACTTCAGCACTATTAGCCACTGCCTGCATGCTAGTGCCCCAGCTGGCCAAAAATGTCCTTTATTACTCTTTTTCTCAAACCCCAGGATCTAGTCATTTGAACAGGATAATAGGAGTCGGGGCTGGAGAGATGGCTCAGGAGTTAAGAGTGTTCGCTAATATTCCAGAGGATCGGGGTAACAAACCCCAGCACCCACATCACTAACTCCAGTTCCAGGGCATCTGGTGCCCTTGGCATATATACATATGCACATACACACACACATACATACATACATACATACATACATACATACATACATACATTGTCACCCCTGGAACTGGAGTTGTTCCAGCCAACCTGTAGGTGCTGAGAATTGAACCTGGATCCTCTTCAAGAGCAGCCAGTGTTCTTACTCTCTAAACCATCTCTCCAGCCCCCATCTTTCTCTTGATTAATAAGTAAATAAGTGGAGACTGGTAAATACAATGTTCCCTAGCAACCTTTGACCCTGGTGACATAGCATTCAATGAGGACAACTGGGACATTGGTTACTTCTTGGTACAAAGGGCTGACTTGATTTTATCATTCCTTCAGCTCTTTAACTTTTGAGATTTTTAAGAATTTCTGCCTGGCAGTGGTGGCATACACCTTTCTTTAATCCCAGCACTCCAGAGGCAGGGACAGGCAGATGCCTGTGAGTTTGAGGCCAGCTTGATCTACAGAGGAGGTAACAGAACAACCAAAGCTACACAGAGAAACACTGTCTCAAAAAAAAAAACAAAAAAAAAAAACAAACAGAAAACAGAAACAAATTCATATTTATTACTGCAGTGCAGTGGTCCTCAACCTTCCTACTGCTGTGACCCTCTAACACAGTCCCTCATGTTGCAGTGACCCCCAACCATAAAATTACTTCATTGCTACCTCATAACTGTAATTTTGCTACTGTTATGAATCGTAATGGGAACATCTGGTATGCAGAATGTGTGGTTGAGAACCACTGTGTGTCCATTGGATGGGACACATGCTGTGATCCATGTGTGGAGATCAGAGAACAACTTTGTGGAGTCAGTTCTCTCTCTCTCCCTTTATGTGAGTTTCAGAGATTGAACCCAGAAAGCCAGCCAGGCTTACACTACAAGCACTTTACCTGCTGACTCATCTTGCCAACCCATTTACTTTTATCAAGATAGACCAGTGGGTTTCTTTCTTTTCTTTACGGACCCTGTGTTGTATGACCTCATATTTGATCAGTACAGCCCTTTCAAATTGGATCATGGGGACTGGGGGTGCATGCTGTGCCTGTGCATGCTTGTGTGTGGAAACCAGAGGCCTACATCAGTAGTATTCCCCATCTCTCTTCATCTTGCCATTCCCCAGGTCGTTTTTGTTTTGTTTTGTTTTGTTTTGTAATGAGCTCTTACCAGCATGGACCTTGTGCTAAGTAGACTAGGCTGGTAGGGTTGAGGACACCAGAGATCTATGGTCTCTGTCTCCCCACAGCTAGAATTATGAGCAGTTGTCACCATGCCAGCTTTTTTTTTTTTTTTTTTTAACTTGTGTTCTAGGGATGAACTTCATGTCCTCCTGCTTGCAAGGCAAGCATTTGATCAACTGAGTCACCTTCCCGGTCTAGGAGCTAAGTGTTTTTGATAAAAAGCAACAACACAAAACTGCCTGGTCTCTGAAAAGTAATGTAGCAGACACTGTCCTCATACTTCACATGTCAGATGGGCCTTCTGTGGCAAAGCGAATTGATACAGCGCAGCTGTGTGACTGCAGAGACTTGGTCACATTTAAAGTCAGATTCAAGAAAGTCACACAAAAGATCATAGGGGAGGGGTGTCTCGGGGGTTAGAGAAGTGGAAGGAAACAAAGGTTCTTGAGAAACTTCCATAATGGAAGTGTTACAGCTCAGGAGAAAGGTTTCCCCAGGGGGGGTTGTATTAGGGTTTTTATTGCTGTGAAGAGACACCATGACCACAGCAACTCTTATAAAGAAAACATTTAATGAGGTATGGGGGGGTGCTCCCTTGCAGTTCCAGAAGTTCAGTCCATTATCATCATGGCAGGGAGCATGATGGCATGCAGGAAAACATGATGCTGGAGAAATGGCTGAGAGTTCTATATCTTGCAGGCATCAGAAAGTCAACTGCCTGTCACACTGGGTGAAGCTTGAGAAAAAAAGAGACCTTAGAGCCCGCCCCCACAGTGACAAGTGACACACTTCCTCCAACAAGGCCACACCTCCTAAGATTGTCACTCCCTTTGGGGTTCATTTTCTCTCAAACCACGGCAGAGATGTTGCTTCTCTGAGGGCGAAAGTTTCCCAAGTGGAAGTGTTACAATCTGCCCTGAGAGGGAAAGTTTCCCTAATGCAGATGTTACAGCACTGAAGGGGAAATTATCCTGGCAGACACAAGAACGTGGTTGTATCTCCTGGGGGTGAGAAGCAGCAAGAACCTGAGCAGGAGACAGGCCTATACAGGGTTTCTTGGGGGAAGAGTTTTCCAGGATGAGATTCCCAGGGTGGGGATTGGTGACATTTCAAGACAAGCCAGGAACTGCTGGGATTTCATGCTCAGGGTTTGGTGGGGTTTGGTAGCTTTTCAAACCTGGAAGTGGCCTTGAACATTTTACCTTACAGGTTCAGTTTGCCTCAGTCCAGGCCATCAGAGTTTGTTGTCTGGTGGTTTCCAAAGAAGAGGGCTGTCCTCCTATGGAGACAGATTTTCCCAGGCTCCTGAGAATTGCTTCTGAACTGTTAATGATTGACATGTGCAAGCATAGTATAAGGTTAAAAGGTCCACATTCCCTTCCTGGTTTTGAAAACCCACCAACTTCTGAGCTTGAAAGTCCACCAATCCCTGGGAGCGCCCCAGGCTCAGGCCTTGAAATCCCACCAATTCTCACCCTGGAAAGCTCCCTGCAAGCCAGTAAGCAGTGGTCATCTTTGGTCTCTGCTTCAGCTTCTGCCTCAACTCCCCTGCATAACAGACTAGGAGCTATAAAGTGAAGAGAGCCCTTTCCACCCTACCTTTTGGTCATGTGTTTATCACAGCGACAGAAAGCAAACCAGACACCACCTTTGGCGGCAGGAACTAGCCTTTCATGATACATCAATATCAAACGTGGCTAAGGAGACAATGGAAATGGTGCAGGACAAACCAGTGGGGGCGTGGCTCTGCGTTCTGACTTCGGGCACAGGCGGGCTCCGTGACAACCTCCTTGCGCAAGCGCTACTAGGCGGCCCGAGAGGCGGGACCTCGCCAAAGGAGGATTTGCACAGGCGCGCTGCTGAAGAAAGAGGAGAGGCGTGGTTGTGCAGAGCATAGAAGGGAAGCTTCCAGGTAAAACGCTCTGCGCCGGCGCACTTCTCGAGAGGGAGGCAAAAGCTGGGCTATGAGGAGCGGAGGGGAGGAGCTATGGCGGTCCGAAGGGCGGGGCCTCTACGAAGAACACGCTGCGCAGGCGTAGCCCGGCAGTGGCGCTATAGACTGCTGTGCAGTGTCTATTCAGCGTCCCAACCAGGAGCCTGAAAGCCAGGATGGGCCGGAAGGTGACCGTGGCTACCTGTGCACTCAACCAATGGGCCCTGGATTTTGAGGGCAATTTCCAGAGGATTTTAAAGAGTGAGTCTGGGGATGGCTGGGGACAGGAAGAAGCCAAAGCCCACAATGATCAGGGTATGGCACTCAAGTGCACAGCTTTGCCCAGGAGAGACTCACAGCGCTAGGCGTGGGGACAGTTAAAGGGTAATGACCTGGCCCTTGTGAGCTATCGGGGGACTTCCCAGTTTGGGGGACACATGGAGTAGCAAGGCAGGAATGGAGATGGGTGTGACCTACTTAGCTAGACAGACACTGCCCTCAGCCATCTTCTAGGATCTGGTGGGTCTGTGGTGTTCCCTGCAGAGCTGCCCGTCCTTAGAACTGTGATCTGATCTGTGAGTGTTTGCAGAGACTAGAGGTCTATGGGCAAGGGACCCTAAGGACATTCCTGGTAGATGAGCATTGGGAAAATGCATACTGAACCGAGAAAGCAGGTAAAGAGTGAGCTCTCAGCTCGGAGGAGAGTGTCTCTATTGAATATCCCTATATTGTTGACATTCATGTCAGCTTACTGTAAAGATAGCACAGTTTCTACCATGCCCAAACTGGGGCTGCTCTGGGCAGAGCTACAGATTTCCCACTTCAGCAGGTTGTCCTGCTGAGCTGCCTCTGTAAGAAGACTAAACAGAACAAGAGGGAGCAAGTCAGCTTTAAAAACCCACAAAGCCCTACATTTACCATTATTTATTGCATGTACACATGTTGTCATG